CTTCTGGAGGCTGGAGACCACCTGAGGAGACCCCAGCCCAGGGGAGCGTGACCCTTAGAGGGCACTGCAGAGCGGCTAAGGGGCACCCGCTCCCCAGGGGCCCCTACCCATCTCCATGGGGCTGCGGGAGAGGGAGGCTCCTTCTTTAGGGGCAGGGACGGGGTGAGGGGGGAAGGTCTTCGGCTGACCAGCCCAGCCATGAAGGGGGTTCTCAAGGCTCATACCCACCCTGGGCCAGGATGCCCAGGCTCTGCCCTGCAGGCCAGGGCCACCACACCTCACCTCTCTGTGCTTGGCCACCAGGGAGGAAGAGAGCCGCTCTAGCTCCTCCTGGTGCTCCCTCTCCAGCGCTGCCACTGCCTGGGATGCAACAAAGGGCGTTTGAGGAGTGCAGGGCAGGCTGGCCGGGCTCTGATGAGCCAGGAAGACTAACCCAAACACCCCTCGAGCCCCAGGGCCAAGGGGAACCATGGGCACATCTTTGTTCCTCTGAGATGACTCAGTCCCTCAAGTCTGTAACTAGCAAACAAACAGGGCTGTGAAGGCCAGAGTGGAGGGGCTTTTTATAAGCCTCAGTTATGGCTTCTACCCACCGCCTCTGGACTGGGCCACAGGTTCACAGGTGACACTCCGGCCTGTGAGCAAGGACAAGCCAGGGAGGCCTGGAGGTCTCGGCAGCACCTCCCCGCGCACGTGCACTACAATGGCGTTCTCCCCCTGCCTCGCTGCAGGCTCTCCTGGCCTAAGAGCTGAAGCTCCACCTGTCACCAAAAGTTCCACGTGGCCTGACTGTTACTTACTTCAGCTTCTTCCCTAGAGACAGACCATCAAATTGGAGGGACAGGGAGTAAGGACAAGAGAGTAAAAACTCCACTAAGTGCGCTAGCCTCTCCCTCTGAGGGCACACTCTGTGGGGCTGGAGGAAAAGGGAGACATGAGAGGTGATCACAGCTGCCCCTCAGGGACAAGGGCAGGGACAGGGCACTTTTGTCTCAAGATCTCTGGTTGGTTTAAGTTCTTTCAGTCATGAAATCTTTCTAAATCCACGGGCCTCGTCCCCTCAAACTTCCTCCCTGCCTTTGACAACACAGCTGCTGCCAGCCCCATGGGCCCTGGAGGGAGCCTGTGGACCATGCAGCACCCTCCACTATGCCCTGGAGATCAGGGCGGCACCTGCCCCGAGACACGCCAGGTCCACATGGGACACGGGCCCAAACAGCGGGCCCACTGTCTCACCACCCGGCCGGCTCCCCGCCTAGCGCGCCCGAGACTGGCTCTTCCCCTCCCGCAGGGCTCAGGCCCTCCCCGGCAGCCCAGGGACACATCAGGGCCAGGGGGAGGTTCCCATCTACATGCTCACTTCTTTCCTCTCCCCTTCCAGCTTCTCCCTCAGCTGCTGTAATGCCCTCTCCTTCTCCGCTGTCAGGGCAGCCTGCTCTCTCTTCTCCAAAGCCTCCATCTCGTCCCTGAGCTGCTCCAGCGTCTGCTTGTTTTTCTGCTCCAAGCTGGCCCTCTCAGCCTTCTGCAGAGCCTCCAGCTCTTCTCTCAGCCTCTGCAGGGAAGCCTCTTGCTCGGCCCTGGGCAGACAAGGGGACAGCTGTGGGCCTGGGCACTCGGGGAGTAGGGGAGCCTCCGCGGGGCTGGGCAGCCCACAGTCGGCGCTCACCTGATTTGGTCCTCATCTGCTCCCATGCTGGACTGGACCTGGGCCCGGAGCCGGGACAGCCTCTGGCTTTCCTGCTCTCTCATCCGGGACTCCTCTTCCTCAGTGGCTCTCTGCAGCTGCTCCTTCAGGGAACTGCCAAGCAAAGACAAGTTAAGCTCGCTGGAGGGATCACAAGGTCTACCCTCTTCTACTCATCATCCCTGGCTCCTGGCCTACAAAAGCCCAGAGCCTGCCAGTGAAGCCTCCGAAGTCTTCAAGTCAAGTCCGACCTCAGCCTCCGGGTCCTGCAGCCTCCCTTTAATATCACCCAGGGGAAAGAGGGGCTATGAACCCCACCTGCCCTTTGCCACAGGAAGCGGATTGCAGGCTCCTTGGTCCCAGAACACATTTTTTCCAAAGGCTCCCCTCTGCCTACAGGTCCACCTTGGCACGGCACTCACTCAAGGCCGGATCCAGTCTGAGCCTAACCCAGCTCTGGTTCTGTACCTGTTCACTCCCCACCCGACAGGCTGCTCCAGCCACGTCAGCCGGTCAGCTGAGCCACCACTTCTAAATCCCACCACCCTTTTCCCTGCCTCTTGGTCTTTGTTCATGCTGGTTCCCCCGCCCAGAATTCCCTTTTCTACCTGACGAACCCATGTTCATTGTTCAACACCCAGCTCCCTCCTCTTAGACAAGTCTTTCCAACTCCCCCCAAGTTTATTACCTTTCTGTTCTCCACACTTTATGGGAAGCCCTTTCTTACGCATGCAACTCTGTGCCATGAATCATTTTGCATCATAATTCTTTTCTGTGTTTTCCTTACAAGTCTGGGAGCTTCTCCAGACAAAGAATCTTGTCTTAAAATCTATTAAATCCCAAGTGCCAAACACAGTAGCAGATATGATATAGGTACTCCATAAATGTTTGTTGCATTCCAACAGTTATTGCCCAGGCCCAAACCGTAAGCAAGCTTTTTCCATGAAGGGTGTCTTACTTACAGACCAACAATGGTAACCATCTCATCCCAAGCAGACACATCAACCCTCTGCTTACACATACCAAACCACGCCCCCCTCCCGCAGCCTCTACATGATCAGGGGCTGTGTGCTGTGCACCCAGGAAACCCAAGCCTGAGAAAAACATGATTCAGAAGGTAATTTCTTTGAAAAGCCTCTGCAGTGAATTCCAAAGCCAAAAAAGATTTAGAATCATTTTCTACTTCAAGTTATCAGCACTACCACTCTCTTCCATTATGACAGAAAATTTGAGTTAAGTAAAAATCCTTCCTTCTAGATTTCCCAGAAGCCCTTTCTCTTGGTCCTGTGGCTAAATTTTACATGTAGCACCACAGAATGGTAGTGCTGAAAAGGTCTTTACAGGTTAAGTCCTGCATTTTACAACTCTCTCATCTTACAACTAAACTCATAGTCTTTTTGTTTTATAACTGAAGAAACTAAGGGTCAGCCTGCTTGTCTTCCCTGCCTGCCTTCTCATTCGAGAAATATTTGCAACAACGTCAGCTTCGGCTTCCAGAAATTTCTACCAAGGGGAAGTTTCCCAGCAGAGAGGAGGCCCCACCCCTCAGAAAGGCTCATGTGTAAACAGAAACAGGGTTCTCACGATAAACTATTTTGAAGACAGCCAAGCAAGGAGAAAACACTTAGTCAAGAGTGCCGAAACTGTACTGATTTCAACTGAAAATACAGTCAAGAGCCACCATTTACTGAGCAACTACTGTGTTTCAGGACCTGAGTCAGACACTTCTGGCATGCTAGTCTTCACCACAACCTAGGAGGGCTGTGGGATGCCCTTCTAGAGTTGAGGGGTTTGGGGAGGGGACAGAAAACACAGTCAGCCAAGCTCAGGGTGGCCAGGGAGAGAGAGGAGCCTGGTAGATCAGCAGGGAAACACCACCAGGATTCCTCCTAGGCACTGCCTCTCAAGGTGAGCTGAGTGGCACCCTGTATGGATGGGCCTCTGCCCCAAGTTTCAGTTGGCTGGAAGAGGAGGAAGATCTGCTCTTTGGGATGCTCCCTGGCAGGGGATCCAGGAGGGATGATACAAGGATGGACCCTGGGTCAGCAGACTGAGAGGGCCACTGAGAGATCACCCCAACCCTCTGGGTAGCTGGCTGTTAGTTTTCTGTTAGTTTCTCTAAATTAAGCAAAATATTTTATATGCTCTTTGCCATGTGTGCTATAAAAATAATTAGTCTCTACTACTTTTGGGTGTTTAGTCTAAGAGGACAAGATTTAGCCTTTAACTGCCAAGTAAGTGAAATACATTAACATCTTTTTGTAGGTCCTTTCCTATCCTGGGAATGTAATAGAGAGTGCTTATTACCATCTCAATATCCATTCTCCCATTTTTCTTTACTAAGCGAACCCTGATTTTATTCTATCAGGTACAGAGGATCAGCTAAAGGACTACATTTCCCAGTCACTCTTTGCAACCAGGGGTGAGATGTAAGTGCAAATTACCAGGTCAAGTTTCCAGGGAAACACCTTTAAAGAATAAGTAGAAGTTACTGGGTAAAGTTTCCAGAAAAGTGCCTTCAAAGGGACTGAAAGCACTAGAAGGTGCCCCTGTTCTTCCTGCTGGAACACAGATACAATGGCTGGAGACCCAGCAGTTATACTGGCCTGTAAAGAGACTCTGAGAGTAAAACCCAGCACTAATGAAGGCAGAGAGATTAAAGAAGTCCGGGGATCTGGTGAATCTGTGGAGCTGCTATGCCAGCCCTGAAGTGCCTTTTCTTATAAAAATAAAACCTGAGCACATATACACAGTCACATATGCAGAGGCCCAGCCCAGGCTTAAATGTTGTTTGTCAAGGGCCTCCCAGCCAGCAACTCAAAGAGTAGGAACCCAAATAGAATCTTCTGGATCTGGGGCAAAAGCACTTCACACCATACCATGTGGCCCCTACCCACCTCACTGGGTCCCAACAGGGCCCTGACTCCCATGAGAGAGGATGACGTAGTCAAGAAAATGGGCCCCAGAGACAAGCTGCCTGGGTTCATCTGGGCTCTGCTGTTTCAAGTCCCAGGACCTTCGACAAGCTATTAACCTTTCTGTGCCTCAGTTTCTCCGTCTGTATTATAGATTCTACGAAGCAGGGCTGATGACAACACTTCATAAGGGCCGTTTTGAGGCCTAAACTAAACGAAATCATAGACATAAAGCATGTGGATCAGTGTAATCTCTCAAAGAATGTTAGCTACTCCCTCATTATCACACCTCCCAACTCCCTCCCCAAAAGGGGACAGGCACGAGCCTTGGCCTGGGAGCCAGCTCCTCCACGTGGGCCACCGAGCAGGGGTCCTGGAGGGGCCTTGGGCATCCCAGTGGCCGCCAGGGCAGGAGGAGGGTGCCACTGTGAGGCCCAGGCAGCCGGGCTCAGGGGGTTGGGGGGCAGGACCTGAGCGACTTCTCTTTCTGCCGGTGAAGCTGGAGGACCTCCTCCTTCTCCTCCCGCCACAGCTTCTCCCGCAGCCGCTGCATCTTCTCTCGCTTGGACTCCAGGAGCCGCCTCCGGTCTTGTTCAAGTTCTTGGGCCACTGCCTCTTCCATGGCCTTCAGTACGGCCTCTGAGGGCTGCGCAGAGGAAGGACGGGGAGCCGCAGGCTCCGCAAATCGCCTACCAAGGGGGAGAACAGCATTTCACTAGGTTTACTATCAACCTGCCCTTTGGTACCAGGACTTACACAGATACAGAACATCACACACAGAACCCTGACAGAAGGCCCAGGGTCAGGAACCATAAATGCAAATGAGGTCACCCAAGGGTGGCAGCAAGGCTCCCCTCTCGAAGACACAGACAGCATTTGTTCTATAGGACGAGCCCTACCTTGGCCATCCCAGGCCCCGAGAGCCTGGGGAGGAGGGTGGTCCACAGGAGGCTCTCAGGGAACCTGGCAGGTTGTGGCCCGAGGCGAACCCCCAAAGCTGTGGCCCAAGAGCTGGCAGCAGAAGAAAGAGTGAAGCCCTGTCCCTCATGGATTCCTCCCCAGAGTGGCTCATGGCCCCGTTTCTGTCTCCCCACCAGGGCTCTGCCTGCTACTGAAGGCTCATGCCAACAGCTTGGGAAGTCCCCAGAGGCCGCTGTCTGACTCCCAAACTGAACCGAGGCCAATGCATGAGAGCCAGTGAGAGCAGCAGCATGTCTGCAAGCCCTGAAACCTAGAATAGCGCATGGAGGTCCAAAAATGGGAAACCCTCCTCCCATGCTGCTGAGGGAGGCAAGCAGGAGCCCCTTCCTGAAGCCAGAGAGTAGCAAGAGCATAACCAGAATGCTGGCCAGGCTCCACATCCCCCCGATGATGCCACAATTTCATCTTAGTGTGAATTCAATGTTTGGAAACAGGTAAAAGAAATTCAGGGCTAACTTGGATGCCTCAGGTGGATGGTAAGATACGGAACAATGGTATCAGTTACACAGGTATATAAAGTAGTGAGGTTGTTATGTGGCTTGTATTCTGGTTCTTGAAGGAAATACACAGAGAGAAACCCCAAGAAGATTTTAAGCGATGAAAGCGTAGGTGGGATAAAGTATTTTGACTCCCAGAGTGGCTTTCCTAAAGGCCAGGACATGTCTGCATTCCCATGTCCCTAAATCTTACATTAGAAATTGGTCTGACCACCCAACCACCTTCTCCCTGGCCTGGCAAGGTGGCCCAGTTGGGGTCCAGTTGACCTCAGCAGCATGTGGGTGTGGTCCAAATCAAGGAGGAGGGGGACCAGAGTCCAACGGGGGAGCCAGCCCTGCTGCTGGGGACACAGAATCCTCTCCTCCCTCAGCTCCCGCACTGCAGCAGATGGATGGCAGTGGGCAGGATCAGAGCAGAACAGATGAAAACAAGGGCTCTGGAATTCCATTTCAACCCACCCCCCGCCCCAGGCCAGAGACAGAAGGAAGACACAAAAGGTGACTGACATCTCTGAAATATCAGTGAGATCTTTCCTAAAATCGTAACTCAGACCAGAACAGTCTTGAGCCTTCAATTCTTTTCTGCTCTCAACCTCAGCTCCCTCCTTCCATTCCCGACTTCCTTTCAGTCCCCTGACTCAGCCTAGATGTAAGTGGCTGCCACCTTCTCTGACAATCCCGCGCTCGGAAGGCGCCTCCCCCCACAGCTCTCCGCCTCATCAACCCTCCAACTCATTTCCAACCTGAGCTGAAAACATCTTTTTTTTCCCTGAGATGGTACCTTTTAATGTCTCTCCCCTCTGTGAGCTGTGGAGCTACGTGGAGCCCCAGGGATAGATGCTGCGGAAAGACGGGGCATCAGACGGCGTGACAGCATGTGCCCAGCTGCACGCACCAGTGAGCCTGCTGGCACACCTAGCAGGCAGGCAAAGGGGGCCTTTTTCAGTGGGACTCTTCTCTGTGTCCCCATTTTAAAGATCTAGGATCCCAAAGTCCCAGCTGAGGTCCAAGGCCGTCAACAATGAGCCTGAAAGATCTATGAGACAACAGGGAAGCAGAGGACTCCAGAGGAAGAGGCAGGTCGGATTTCCAGGCCCCTTCTTGGGTTTTGGCATCAACGAGACCCAGTTTTCAACAGCGAGTGGCCAAGAGGAGGCTCTGTAGGAGCAACACTATTTCAGACTGGCCACCAAGTAACTCTGAGACACGTGGAGGAAAGCAAGGAGGGAAGGCAGGCAAGGCAGGACAAGAGGGAGGAGGACATGGTACCCACGGTCCCGAAGTGGCTACAGAACCCCTTAAACTGGAATCCGTTAGCAGGGATCTCATCTCTGCTCACTTCCAACCCAGCGGTTCTCATTCTTTTACCCTCTCTCTATAAACCTCATGAAAGATGCTAGGATGACCAAGGGAAGGATAGCCTTGTTTCCCAGACCCAGGCCTTCTGGCCATAAAGCATGCAGAGCGGTGGCTGCCTGATGGCCCTGCCTATGCACTCTCATCTGCCCTTTGTTCTTAACTCCTTCAGATTCAGCTTGACAACATCTATGGAGGTGACCTCTACTAATCATGTTTTTTATTTTCTGTATTTTATGATGCTTTGATGTCTGAGAAAGCTTGCAGGTCAAGGAGAGGATGCCCCTCCCAGGATGAGTCAATCTTTACAGAAAGCAAAGGGAAGGTGCCTTTCATGTGCAAATCAACCCAATTCCTACACCCCCATCCTCTCCTCATCTAACTCACACCAAGCCATATTCCCCCCCACCCCAAAATCACCCAGGGCCAGGCAGCAGACAACTAGAGACCATGTCCATAGCTCAAAGCCCACCAAAATTATTCAAACTTCCCAACACTGCACTCACTCAGGGTACTTACCCTGCCTCGCCTGCTGCTTCCCACAAAAACCCCAATTCAGGCTCTGGGTCACGCTGTTCCTTCTTGCCTCCTTCACCTCCTGACCAACTCCGCCCCTTCCCCACGTGGCTCCTCTTCTCTCTGGAAATGTAAGCAATAAATTCTTTTTTCAGTGGTATTGCCCTCTCCATGTTGTCACTCAGTCTCCTCCGCAAATTAAAATCCTACGGGTACAAATGAGACACTCCCCACAAAACCCAGAAAATCAAGCCATTCTTCATACAATCGTAAAGATGAGTAACAGGGAAGTTATGGAGCCTGCAAAGATTCAGGAAAGGAAGAGAAGACATTTCCGAAGGGCACTGTGTAAACTGAAACTGTGTGCTCAAGGAGAGTGCCCCCCGGCAGGGGCAGCCTCACTGGGATGGGAGGAGAAATACAAAGGATGGGACCCTCAGCCCAGGCGGCTGGGAGGAGCCTCACTGTTTCTCTCCCAGAGGCCCTGGGAAAATGCCCTCTGACCACTGCCCAACACCACTCTCTCCCCCGTCCACATCAAAAGCATCCTGCTCTGGCTGTCCAAAGCCACCAAGGAGACCTGCGAAAGCCACGTTGTTCCTCAGGGTCAGAGCTGTCACGGTGGGATATATCCCCACCCGAAAAATGGGCTACCCCTTCCCTAAGTCATTCCTGCAGGGCCATGGTGATGACGCGAGACTGTGAGCTCCTGTGCCCTGCCAGCTCTCGGTGCCACTTCCTGGGAGAAATCAGTGCGCGAACCTGTCTGTGCTCAACGCTCGGCCTGAATCCTGAGGACTCTTAATCCTTTTGTACTGCTCAGTTCACAGGCAGGAAAAATTGGCTAACCCTGACCCCTGTTTCTCTCCACGCAGAGAAAAGGCACAGTGGCAGCAGACCAAGAGCCAGAAGTCCAGGCTCTGGTGACTATAGAGTCTAGTCCCAATTCTGCAAATGACTAGTGATGTGAACTTGGGCAAATGCCTTTGCCTCTCTGAACCTGTTTCCTCATCTGTAAAAGGGGTGAGAGAGGGGAGGAGAAAACGGGAGGAAAAGAGCTCTGAACCCAAGCACAGAAAATATAAACTGGGTACTATGTAATTCTACTCATATGAAGTTGGAGAACCAGAAAAACAAATTTATGGGACAGAAGCTAGAACAGCGGTGACCTGGGTGGACTGAGGAAAGGGGCCTGAGGAAGCTTTCTGGAGGGGTGGAAACATCCTACAGATGAGCTGGGTGGCTGTGAGACGGCATATACACATGTACACACTCTTGATTTGTACAATTCAGGTGTATGGACTTCAATGTATATAAATACCTCGATGATTTTTTTCTTTTTTAAATATAATAATTTTTTTCTTAAGAAAGAGAAAAATAGTGCTTAGTAGAGAGGCAAACATTGGTTACTGGGTTTCTGCTAATGACCCAGAAGGTACCCTACCCCCTCGCTTCCAGCCTCATACCCCAGGAGCTGACCAGGGGAGCCCTGGGGCTGCTTAGGGGTCTTAAGGCTGCACACCGAACCAAGGCTACACGCTCTTCCCCTTGAGCCGGGGCCAGAGCATCCCCTCCCACCATCCAAGACTGGACGGGCACAAGCAACCCACACACAATGGAGGACAGGGACAGACATGAAAACTGGCCCTTACGCCTCTGGAGAGACTGGCGGGGTGGGGCTGACCACCACCTTCTCCTCAAGCTCCTCGGCCTCCTCCTGCCCAGGGCCCGGCCCCTGGGCCTGGGAGCGCTGCTCCTTGCCCTTCTCGTGGGTGGCAGGTGGGCTTGGGACCTCCTCCCTTGACAGCAATAAGGAAGCAACTGTGTTAAAGCCAGAGGAAGGCGAGAGGCTCCAGACGTACCCCATTCGGGGGCAAAGGGCTGTCAAGGATGGAGGCAGCCCCAGCAGTTTCCCTACCTACCTCAGGTCTCAGATCTCATCTCCCCTCCCTGCCTCTTCCCGAGCTGTTTACACTGAAGACCAGAGACTCACATCCCAGGAGGGATACAGAAGGGGTCTGGAGCCCTAGGAGCAGCTCTGCACACAGCAGGTGCTCTGTGGATGCTGCTGAGAACACCCCCGGCTGCTCAACTGTCCCCAGGACTCACTGCACCTGGATGAGCGCTATGACCAGCGCCTTTCTCTAGTCAGGGGAACAAACTCAACACATATGCACAAGGCTCTGGGCCAGGCTAGGGAGTAAAGGTCCTCTTAGCTGGCCCAGAGAGGCCTGGAGCTCACGCCTCCCTCTCCCTGGGGCCGGGCACACCACAGGGAGTGCAGGCTTGCTAATGACAGGCGGTGGGGTGACTGCTGGGAGGGAGGGGGCTGGCAGGTGGGGACGCGGAGAAATACCCACCTCCCCGGCCACAGCAGGAATGGCCCAGCCCAGGGTGACAGCAGTCCTTGCCCTAGCCTCTGGCAGGGAGGCAGCTGGGTCAGAAGTTTCTAAGCTCTAATCAGACTGTGCACCCCAATTTTAGCTGCAGACCGTTCACTAGGAAGAGGCAGTTTCCCTCACTCCCCAGTTTGTGTGAAACACTAAGCAGAAACCTCAGTTGCTGATGCTCAGGCTGCAAACCGACCCGCTCTCCCCACCGCTCCAGGCCTGCCCTGGGGGAGGCTCTCGGCTCAGCCTTACCTCTGCAGGGCAGCAGGCGGGGCGGGGCTGCCTGCAGAGCCCTCCCGGGGCTTCCTCCATCTCCTTCCGCTCAGGCTGCCCCTGCTGAGGCCCTTCTTCAGGGGCTGGGCTGTGAAGGGGACTCTGGAGCCGCTCCCCATGCAGAAGAGGAGGGGACAACCTGGGCAGAGCAGCAGAGTCAGGGCCTCCACTCGGAGAGCAGGAGGAGAACTGAGGATGTGGTACGTGGACCTAGGTCCATGCCTCCACTAGGCTGGACCCCAGCCCTGGCCCCACCTCCATGGAGAGCCCACAGACGGCAAAGCACCCAGAAATTCAGTAAGGAGAAACTCCCTACTGAGCAGCCCCCTGGTCTGGACTGGCCTCAGCCTTCCCAGGTCCCTGTGCTGCACCTGCTTGGCCCAGGAGTGAGAGCCAGGCACACTCACAGATACACATGTTCCCACCATCCCTGGGGCCAGGGGATGGAAGGACTGAGCAGAAAAGAGAGAGAAAAAGAAAAGCCAGACTCCAGTGGTCAGACTATAGAAAATGCATGAAGCGGTAGCTTTAAGGAAGTAAGAATGCTGATAGCTTTTCAAGGCCCAAAAAGTAGAAGGACCATCGAAGTCCCTGTCTATCTCACACATGCACATACACACACACACACACACACACACACACACACACACACACACATTTTGCGGGCGCACACACACACACACACACATTTTGCACACACACACACATTTTGCAAGGCCATCCAGTCAGCTCATTTTCTGCCTTCAGGCAGAAGCACATTGAGCTCCACAGCCCAAAGCCAGGAATTCTGCCCAAGCCCATACCATCCCAAGGGCCCCTAAGGGCGGCCTCCCACGTACTGTACCTCTCCGAGCCTCTGGACTGCTTGCTCTGAAGCTCATCTCGGCTGGACTGGCTGGCATCCTTGTCTTCTCTTCCCAACCTCTGGGCCTGTAGGCAAGCAGCAGTGGAAAGTGTATATGGCGAGTGGGGGGTGGGGGGGTTCTGCACTGTGTCCTTCAATCCTCTGACTCCCATGCCAGCAGGAGGCACTGAGAGGTGGCTTTTGAGTGGATGAGGACAGGGCGGGATGCGGAAGAGGAGGCCTGTCCACTGTACAGTGAAGACCCTGGGGCTTTGGCTAAGCCCCCGGGCTCACAGCTGCTCCCAGGGCCGACCTTGCTGGCCTGGGGAGGATGAGTCAGATGCCACAGACACTCAGGCTGAGCCAGAAGCCAGTGGCTGAAGGACACACAAAAAGAAAGTCCTGCCTCCTGCAGGTGGAAGGCTTCACTGCCAGCTGCACAGAGAAAGCACAGACGTCCATGAACGCCCCAAATCCACAGAGGCCCCAGACCTCCAGTGCCGAAGACATACAAGGGATGCTAGAATTAAGACGGCAGGATTAGGGGCAACAGACAAGTACGTTAAAAAGGAAGGATCGTGGAGAGATGGAGACCTGGTGAAACGAGAGAGAGCAGTACTCCAGACAAAAAGGGCACCATTTGGGCACCTGAAGGAGGAAGACGGAGTGCTCCTCTGCTCCATTCCGAGTTCCCCAGCCCCCCGGTGACAGTCCCTGCCTCGTCAGGGATTATATCACCCATCCATTATAAAAAAAAAAAACAACCCACACACAAACGGCCCAAAATCTCATTTTAAAGTTTGGGTGTCTGGGCAAATTTAGCAAGCTGGTAAAAAAGGACATTTTTGATACATTCAAATACTTTCCGCAGGGGTGAGGTCACGGGTATTGTGGTGCAGTCAGCCTGGACCCAATCCTTTCTCCACCACAAAATGCGACAGTAACCCGCAGCTCACAGGGCTCCTGGTGAGGATTAAAGGAGATCATGTACGTAAAACCCAACCCCGGGCCCAAAAACAAGGCGCACCACACGTGAGCTCTACCCACACTCCTCTTCCTCTCCCCGAGACTGAGGGGGGGAGAAAAACACCAAAAAACCCAGCTGTGCCAATGCCCGTCCCCATCCCAGGACCCGCACTCCTTCTGGCACACTGACAGGAACCCCGTCTGTTCCGGGACACGAGGGTTAACAGGAGAGGTGGGACAGGAGACAGCTCACTCTATCTTCCCCAGCGGGGTTCTGGCCGGGCTGGCACACCTCCGTGTCCCCAGCCCCGTGCCCTCAGCCCCCGACGCCTCTCCACTGGCAACCTGAGCCCCAGCAGCTGTGGCCAGCTGCCATCTGGAGGGGTGAGGAAGGGCAGGGTCTGAACTAAGAGCCAGCTCCCCCAAATTACATTAAAAATAGAACTGCTGCCTGGGAGTACCTCCCGGTGCCGGCAGCAGAAGGGCTCCCCGCCAGCGCTGCCACTCCTAATCGCGTCAGCCGGGCAGAGCCCGCAGACAATGGCAGGGCGGGCCGCCCCTCTCCCGCCCCGCTCCTTCCCTTCCAGTGCACAACTCACAACTTGTCCTCCCCACAAATCACACCAGGCTTAGCAGATAGCTCCCTGCTCTCTTTTCAAGGAGAAAAAAAAATCACATAGGCCCATCTATTTCACAAACTAAAATATACGATAGGACGAAGTGCAGTGATCATAGCAAATACTGGCAAGTGAGCCCTGGGTCAGAAAGGACAAGGTGCAGACAAGGTCTGTCTCCTTGTTTCATCTTCTCTATTTCTGCTAGAAACTCAACTAGTTCCCCTGCTAGGGGGCACCTTGGGAAAGTACCCAGACAGAGATCCTTCAAGCAGAGTTTCACTTGCTCCCTAGAACTTTTCGTCCCAGAAAAGGAGTCAGAGGAACCAGACGAGGAAATCAGGCATGCCAGCGCTCTTCAGAAAGGGGAGACAGCAAGCATGCTCTAATAGGCCTCTGACCTAAGACTGCTCTAACCACTTCCCCATCCTCAACTCAGCTCCACGGTTTTGCTTTTATGATCCAGTTCTCAGTTAAACGGTGCATTCATTAAACAGAATGCTATGCAACCAATAAAAAGGGAGGCAAGGGAGGTCTGAAATAGCTGAGAAATAAGTGAAGGGTCTATTCTCAAATTTAAAGAGCATACACTGCCAAGTGTATTTACAGCATAATTCTAATTTTTGTAGGAAGAAAAAAGATTAATAGAGAATAGATATATGCTTATATGTATACAGAAACATTTCTGGAAAGGCACATGGAAAATGTTAATGGAAACGGTTAACAGTCCCCGCCTGTGGGAGCAAGGCTGCAGGAAGTGGAAGACTTTGACCTGTAGTATTTGAAATAACCTTATGGTCACTTTTATAATCTATTACAAAATTCGTCATATTTATAATACATTACAATCATTATCTTGACTGTGGTGATGATCTGAACGGTGTATACATATGGTAAAACTTATCAAATGGTACAATTTAAATCTGTCCACTTTACTGGATGTCAATTATAGCTCAATAAAGCTGCAGAAAAAAATTTTTTTAAATGAACTGAGTTTCGCTCAGTTCTAAGCCTCTGTATTGGCCCTGGCCTTGGGAGAGATCCAGGGAATATGGAATATGGGCAAGAGCCCCCAGGAAAGACAAAGGGGACTGTACTTAAGGTTTGATCTGTCCCATAAAGAGGCTGCTGCTCCTCCCTATAGCTGCCCCCTCACCGCCGCCTCACCAGCTGTCTCAACCCCTCCACACCCTCAGGCGGGAGAGAGCCGGATACTGAATTCTGAAAAGGGCTCTACACGGTCAGCCAACCTGTGCGCCCAGTGCTGCTCCACACCCTGCTATGCTGGTCTTGAGACACAGCTTAGGGCTTCCTCCGCCAGGGCTGGCTGCCTCAGAGGGTGCCTCGTGAGAGCCAAGTCCAAGCCAGGTCCTGCTACTGCTTTATACCAAGTGGCGTGACCCAAAAAGAGGGTGCTCACCTCATGAGGTCTTAGGCAGGACCCAGAGATCTATCTTTTTTAAAACCCCCCAAGTACTCTAATATTGGCCAGGTTCTGGAGCTGGAGCAGTGAAAATTCACCCTGCCTGGCCCACTTGGTAACTTTCCCACTTACCTGCTGCCAAAGGTGCCCCACAAATCACCTGCTCCAAACGCTTCCTGACTAACCCCACCTGGCCTTGTTTGTGCCTTTACAGTCTTCTAGGGCTGCAAACAGAGGGACCAAGGTCAGGCAGGGACCTGGTGGCTCAGCAGTGGCCCTGGAAGGCTTCTCAGCCAGAGCAAGAAGAACATGTGAGGCTCAGATGCAACCGGCCTCACAACTCTGCCGTGTCCCAGGCCTCACTTCACTAAGGGCTCCCAGCTTGATTCACATTAAATATCTTGTGTGTTTCACCTAAACCAAATGTTCCCTTAAAGTTGCAGAGACCATGTGCCAGAATCTCTCTCTTCTCAACAGCCCCACAGAGGAGGAAAAAAGGATCTTGACTTCAAGCCCTCTAAGGTCAGGATCTGTGTCTGAGTCACCCTTACACATACCCTACTCTGCGCCCAGCACCACCCATGCCTGCACAGAGCTTACAGGGGAGACAAAGAACCATAAAACAAGAGCAGCAGCACTAAGGACAGCAAAGGGAGGGAACGATTCACCCTGCTTGGAGGAGGTGACACAGAGGTGGGCCTCCAAGACCAAGAAGGAGCCTGCCAGGACAGAAGAAGGAGCAGCCCGACAGGCAGAGCGGTGAGAGGTGGATGGTGTGGCCCCGGGAATGGTGAGTGGCAGGCACAGCTGGGGCATGGCAGGTGGGCTGAGAATGAGGCTGCAGAGGTTGGATGGGCCAGGCTGGGAAGTACCCTGAAACCCACAAACTACACCATGCTTTGCACAGGAGCGAGTAGTCAGCGTTCAGTTGCTAAATGAATGGATAAGCAGACAAATATATGGGGGAGGAGGGCAGGGAATGCCTTAATTCATGGCAGCCACACAGCACGAACGTCAGAAGCCCCATCATGGCACAGGCAGGGCCCAGCCTTAATGAATTAGAAGGGAGAGAACTCCCAGAGATGCACCCTAGGATGGGTAGGACTCACCTCTCGGTTATTCCCAAAATAAAGCCCCAGCCCAGCCCCAAAGAGACTCACCTCCCAGCGGGCTCCACCCAGTACCGAGGAGAGCATGTCCTCACCCAGCAGGTGCTCTGAGACCTGGCTGCGAACACCGAAGTCCTGGAGACAGTAGAGACAGGGAGGTCAGCTCTCCTCCGTCACGGTCAGTGCCCACCAGAGATACAGGACCTCTCCTCCACCCCACCTTCCAGAAAGATGCCTACTATGTGCCAGGAGCTGTGCCAAGCATTTCATTCACTTCATCTTCAAAATAACACCGTGACTAGATGGAAAGGTGTGTGATAAAGTAAGTACAGTAAACTGGTCATGGTAGACTCTAGGTGGTGAGTATGTGGGTATTCGCTGTAAAATTCTTCCAATTTTTCAGTATGTTTGCAATTTTTCATCATAAAATTAAAGGGAAAAAAATAACCCTACGAGACTGATCCTCTTATCCTCATCTCACAGATGAGGAAGCAGTTTGAGAGCCCACGCAATTTGCCCAAGGTCACACGTACAGAAAGCAGGAAGCCTGAGGGGGTCAGATGTGCCCTGGGCCGACTCCAAAGCCAAGCCCTTTGCATGACACATGCTGCAAAGCAGGTCACTTCCCAGCTGTCCCTCCCTCCTGCTGCCCAACCAGGAGGCCAAAGTGCCCAGAAGACCCGTGGGCAGCTTGGAAACAGGGCCTGCCAGGCCCCTCCCGGCTTGTTCTTTCCCTTCCCATACAGGCGCCCCTCTGGACAACGGGGACTAATTAGTGACACATCCTCACAGGCTTCTCTTTGGGATGCGCAGCAAGTGCCCACACAGGTGCCAGCTCCCCGCTGCCCTCTGGCTGCTGCAGGGCCACGGCCCCACCCTCTCCGAGCCCACCATCCCCACTGGGCCAGGTGAAGGATTGCTACCTGACAGCATGCGAACGGGGACAGTTCTGTCATCGCCCTGATAAACGACGGGCCATGTGGCCAAGGTCTGGTCCTGCTGTCCATGGCTCCCTCCGCCCACTCCCAGAGAGAAGAAAAATGCCGACAGGCACATTTCTCCACCCCGTGACTCCTTTAGAAGGGCCAGGGCCCTTGCTTCAGAGGGTTCTGTGACACGGCGATTCTTCATGACGGTTTCTGCCAACCATGACTTTGCCTCCCCTTCCTAGCTTGTGGATTTTCTTTGTTGATGACATTTTCCTTTCAGTGTGAGTTCTACTCCACTCAATGCAGCTGCCATCTGGCTCCTAAGCCCAGGACTCAGTGAGGGGCTTGAGCACACAGCCTCCTAATTCCTCTGCACCCCCTCATATCATTACTGTTCATCCCTGACCCTCTCCACTAATCCCTTCCCTTTGATCTGCCTCCTCCAAACAGATGGAGTGTGGTTTCTGGAAGAAATGCTCTGCCAAAAAAGCACCCTGAACTACTCCCCTTAGATACAAACCTGGCAGTGAAGCCAGGATACAGCAGGCTGGGTGGAAGGGCTGAGACAAAGACACCATGGATGTTGGCATTCCAGAACAAAGTCTTAACTTTGGAAATGACACCACACCACAGCATCCTTCTTGGTCAGAGTCTGAGGACTGGTCCTCACTACAGCTCAGTGATCACACTCACACACACACACTCACACACACACACACCCGGTCTCTAACCTCCGAATCACGTAATGTCCCTGCTAGAGCCCAAAGGCAATGACCTCACCTGATCTCCCAGGCAAGTCACAGGGCAATAATGGTAATAACAGTTACATTTGTTTAATGTTTATATGATAATGTTTTATATCCTTTACCTACTCTTTACCCCACTTTTTTCTCACAACAAACCCATAAAGTATGTAGTGTTATCCTTAGTTAATGGGCTGAGAAAATGCAGTTAGGATAAGATCCACGTTTGAATCTTACCTTTCCCACTGACAAGCTGAGAGGCTGGTAAATTACTTAACCACAGGAACTCGCAAATCCATGCCCTTCACCACCACCCTGCTGCCTCCCATCTCAGACTCAGACTCACCAGGCCAGGTAAGGACTTGGGATCAGAAGCAGTGGAGTCTGAGAGCTGCAGTTCCTTCACATGTTCACTAATCTCCAAATCCTGGGGAGACAGACCCACAGAGAAGTCACTGGAGCAGAGGACAGAGGGTCATGATCACTACCCATGGTGCCAACACAGGGCTGTGCCCAAACCCAAATCCACCTCTTCTGGAAAACCTGAAAGAGGCCTGTGGATCCTCCCATTCTCTCTGGACACACCAGCCGCCAGCCCACTCAGGCTGCGCACACAGCTGGGTACGGACAACACTCCTTACACGTGGAGGGAGAACCGAGTAAAGGGGAGCGAAAGATGCTTAGAAAGTTGGCAGTGGGGAATGTGATGGTATCCTAAAAAAAAAAAAACAGAATGACAGCAGCTCTCTGAAAAGCAGCTAAAAGCTCTTTAAATGAATTCTCTCATCAGCCACCTGAAGGAGGAGCAGGACTAAGGTTTGAAAAATCAAAAACGCCAGCGCTCTCCCCACGGGGTCCTACTTCTGTCCATCTGGGTCACTGGCTTGATCTCGCCAAAGCAAGGGTTGTTCCGAAAGAGCCGCAGAAATCAATGAGGAGTCTTCTTGTACCCAAACGGACACTCCCAAGTGTGCCCCCACATCCCTCAATATTCTCCTCTCTTTGTAGGAACACAGGCTGCAACCAGGGCTGACCCCAAACTGATGTCAAGAAGCAGGAAGGGGAGGCAGGAAATGGCAAGAGGAAATAAGTGGGAGACAGAAGAACATGAATATCCCAGGAGGGTGCTGATGGAAAAGCAAATTTCTGCTCTGAATTTCTAGTGCCAGCAGGTTTGGAGTTTCATTCAGGATTTTACTGCCTGCTGGGTCTGGGCATATTTGTCACAATTAAGGCTTCTGGCTGCTGTTGACAGCCCGTTGCAGGGCCTGCAAATGAAGCTCTTGACTCAGTAATAAAGATGAAGGGACAGGAATCTGCACAAGAGGGCAGCACAGGGGTGTAGCCAGCGACTGCCTGTGGGGCAAAGTGACTTACTTCACTCACCTCTGATCTGCTCTCTTTGGAGACAGAAGCCTCCTTCTTTGGCTCCGTTGCTGTCTCTTCCTTCCTGGACCCCTTCTCTCCTGCATCCACCAGGTCCTCTGGTGCCTCTTTTTTATTGGCTTTGGCAGGCTGATTGCCCCCGGGGTCCACCAGTCTCCTGGACGTCCTAGACTCATTCTTCTCATTCTTTTCTTTTTCTGGGAGCCAAGCTGCCCCTCTTCCTGGCCGCTCTTTGCCCTCAGCACTGCTCAGGCTGCTGTCTGCGCCTTGGCTGAAGAGCTTGCCAGGAGTAGGGGGGCCGGCAGCATCTGAATCAAGAGAAGCGTCCTTCTTCTCCTCTGGCTGGCTTGTTCTTGGAGATTCCTAGGGAGCAGCAGGCCATGTCAGAAAGGAAGACGTCAGGAATTAATAAAAGGAGTTTAGAGACTTGCCGCAAGACGGAGGTGCCACTCCTTGATGCCTACAGGCCAGTGCTCTAGCTCTGATACCAATGGTTATCACATCCCCTCCAAAAGCTTTTAAAAACACAGATTCTTCGCTCCAGCCCAGATCTACTGACTCTGAACTTCTATGGTGATTTGGATACTCTCAACCTGACCCTCATCCACTGAGGGGCTTAGAATCCACTGCACTGGACTCTACAACTTTGTCATCACCCATCATGCACTCAAGTAATAAATCTCTCTCGTTCCAGCCCCATCAGCCACACCATAAGACTGCAGGCTCACAAGTCAGCATTTGTTTACAATGATGATGATGGAGAACCACATGAGAGAAAAGTACCAAAGTCAAGAATTTATATTTTTCATTTTTAAAAGGCAGCAAGGAAGAACTGTCAGGAGGGTGCCCTTCTTCCACGGCAACGAGGTTAGCTCTCTCCCTAAAGCCTCCCCTTTCAAGAAGCCCCACAAGCAGCCCTGGAGGCGGGCTCCTCTGTCGGAGGACCATCGAGTGGGTCCTCTGAGCAGCAGGTGCCAGGTGGGGCGAGGTGTGTAGGAGACCCATGGGGGAGATGCCTATGGAGGATAAGGGAGGTGAGGAGAGGCTTCGGAACACAAGCCTGAGGCCTGTGACAGGGGAGGGGGAGGAGGGGGCTTGGGTGAGAAGAGCCTCAGGCCACAGCACAGTTTTGCGAAGGTCCCCAGTCCTGGACAGAGTCCAGGGCAGCCAGGCAGAAACGACCCTGCACGAGGGCCCTTCCTACCCCATCAACTTCATCAACAAGCCCAGCTTCGGCAAGAGCCAGGGTGGATCAAAGGTGCAGCAGCTGCAGACTCTCAATCCACTCGGGTCCCTTCCACAGGGTCTCTCAAAAAGAGATCGGAGCAGCACCCCTTGCCGGCTGCCGCATCCTATTCCTCACTCACAAACCTCATGGTAAAGACCAGGAAAAACCTGTAGAGCCGGCACGACAGACAAAGGAGTCCCTCCCTTGGAACTACAGCCAGCCATCTCTCCTGGGCTCACGCAGAAATGCCTTCGTCCCAGAAAACATCTATGCTAACACTTGGGCTGCCAGTGTAAACAACTTCCCTGCTCACAGGGATTTCTGAGACTTCCTGATTCCTGACCCTGGAGACTCCAATAAGGAGCATGATGACTGGAGTCCAGAGGGCCAAGGAGAAGCCCCAAACACGGCATCCATCAATGCTGTTTGTTGAAGGAGCCACTGAACCCAAAGACACGACCATCCGCCTGCAGGTCTGGCAGCCGACAGACAAGCCAACCCAGACTCCAAGGACAGTTAAGAGGCAGGAAAGCAGAGCAGTTCAGAGTGCGGCTTCATAGACAGAATCCCTGGGTTCAAATCTTGACTTATAAGATCGCACAGATGGAGGTATGTGACCTGCCAGTGACCTTAGGCAAACTGTTTAACTTTTCCATGCCTCAGTCTCTTCCTCTAAAACACGGGGGTACAGTAGGGCCTGCCTCACAGGATTGCTGGGAAGATTAAATGAGTCAACCCTCATCGAGTAAGTTACGGAATGGAGAACTGTGCCTGGCTCACCGTGAGGGTCCATAAATGCTAACGGATGTTTTGTGATGAGACAGACACACACGTTCATTCACTGAGCACCTTCTGGATGTGCCAAACACCACCGTGGGGACCCGGATACAAAGAACAAGACATAGCATCTGCCCTCGAGGAATTCAGCCAAGTACGGAGAAAAGGGAAATGTCCCAGGTGACCCTAGCTAATGAGCCTTTCCTGCCCAAAGCAAAGGGCACTGGACACGGAGGTGATGCTGTCATCAGCCCCAGGCCTGCCCCAGGGAGAAAAGCAGAGGACAAGAGAAGGGTGAGGTCTTCCCTCAGTCCTTGGCAGCACAAAGACAGGGAACCCTCCCAACACCCACAGCGTGGAGGGAATCTGCACGGTCACTGGGCTCAGAGGGGCCGAGATGAGCCCCTCCTCTTCGAGAGGCATCTTCAGAGTGAGGCCAGGCCTCCTCCCCTCAGTGTCCACACAGCGGCCAGCTCTCAGCAGTGGCCAGCACGCAATGACCAGCCTGTGGGGCTCATGGACTCCACGAAGGATGTGGGAGTGTCTCGGGGGAGGTCAGCAGTGTCTGGCTCAGTAAGCTGGGCCAATCCACCCTGGCCACACGCATCTCATGGTGAATGAAAGGCCACGGACCTTGGATTAGGGGACAGAGGTGTCAGACCACAGGTTCACATCTCCTCACATGGCCCATGGCCCTTCTCACCCAGCCCACCCCCTGCCTGCCTCCCTTCGAGGTCATCTCCAGCCAGACACACTAAGCCTGTAAACAAACATCACTATTTGCCCGCTTCGCCAGGCACATTCTTAACACACACACAACCTACCCCAGCAAACTCCCATTAGTCCTCATAGCATCCCGTCCTGCAGGGAGCCTTCTCCATCCTCATCCTCTTTCACAACAGCTACTATATTATAACTGCGGACTTCCTGGCCTGTGGCCCTCACCAAATTAGCCCCCTATTATCCTCAGCGCCTAGTTCTTGGCACATAATAGGTGCTCAGTAAATGCCTGTTGACTGAATTTTTAAAACCGATTCAGTGCGTCAATGGACATAGGAGTTTCCACCCTGTAAAATGGAGGTGTGATACTTACTTTACAAAGTTATCCAGGGATCAGACTATATTTGTTATAGAGCTTCTGGAATGGGAACCAGCCAAACAAATGTGAACTATTAATATTCAAGAGGATGGAAAAACAGGCGACCTATCAAAAATCAGAGGACACAGATCCAAGTAGAGACTCCGCTGCTTACACATGAGAGAATTTGGCCGGACTCTAGGAACCCCAAGCCCAGTTCCTGCCATGCTCAAGCCAAAATTGTTTTAAAGAAGAGTTTCCCACAATGGAGCTTATCCTATCCTGTCTACCTAAAGAGTAAAATATTAAAACATGGCTAATATTAAAATAAACGAACTTGCATTCCCTGTGCCCACATCAGCTAACTGCAACGACAGGAGAACCAGAGGGACATCTCAAGGGCAAGGACAGCAGAGGGGGCATTCGTTGTGGGTCATCCGCAAATGGCTGAATGAGAGCTGAGTGTCTGGAAAACACCCAGTCAACTCCACACTCCTCTCCTTTCACTGGGCCCCTGCTCCTTATCGCATCTCGGGGCCCACGGCCTGAGGCCCTGCCCAGGATGCACACCCAGGGCCGGGCATCCAGTGTGGGGTATACACAGGCAAGGACAGGGGGTGGGACCCCAGCACGGCTCTGCTCTCAGCTCAACCCTGCACACGCTCTTCCTGTCTCTTCCTGTCACAGCCCCAGTCCTTGAGTATCTTAAGGCAAATTCCTGCTGTTTTCCCCAAAAAGACCTTGCCGTCTGCATGAAGACAAGGGTGCAAGGAGAGTGTTCTAAGGACCGTTTCATGAATATTTAACATACCCCCAAAAGTTACTAGGTCTCCCATAGCTATCATCTCCTTCTTCCGGCCCAAAGCACAAAGGCAGGGGCCCTGTAATCCACACAGCTCAGGAGGGAGGGAGTGGGGGACGGGGCAGCTGCACACGACGTCCATGCATTGATCCCATTCTGGGGAGACCCGCACCAAGCCAACCATCAGTCTGGTTTTCTTTCCATGTCTCCTGCCCACTCAGTCGGTCTCAGTCCTTTGCGCTGCTCCCCGGTGTTGTTAGCGCCTTTGCAATCGCACTGACATCATCCTGTTATTTCTAAGCCCAGCTCCCTCCCTCCCCTCTGATCTGCTGATGGGCTTTTCACCGACACCATGAGGCCACCTGCTGCCTGCTCGCCTGCCCTTCCCTTCAGCCTCCCTTCTTTCACTCCCCATCCGTGCTCAGTGTCTGTTCCAGGAACCTATCCCTTTTGATTCTGTAATAGACTGGAAACCAGTTTAAGTTGAAGGCAGGAGAGGAGGGGGAAGGAGACAGAGAGAGAGGCATTCTTGCCATCCTACTGCCCTCTCGTGGAATCATGAGCAAAGTGACTGCTGACAGCGAGACAGTAGAACAAACCACGGGATAAGCCCTCCAGCTCGGGCTGCCAGGGATGCCCAGGAGAAGGAAGAAGTGGGCCACTAAGAGGACCCAAGGGCTATAAACTAGGACAAAAGCCATGTTAAAAGGCATGGTCCAAGCAGCTTTGTCTGTGCTGAAACCCCCGTTCATCCCCACCACTAACCTTCCCCACCAGGAAAAGCCCCAGTTCCTGCCTGAAGTTATAACACAAGAATCCAACACTCCGTGGGGCAAAAAGAACTAAATCTGCTGGGACACCAGAGACAGGGGTGGGGGGGTGTATTCAACACCTCCTACTCCAGACATTTCTCCCCATCACACCAGGTTACCTATTTATATTAAAGAGATTATTAAAAAAAATATGTTAAAAGCTACCACTCCCCCCAAAGAAGCACGTTAACGATCAGAAGGGAAGCTTTTGAAAATCCAGGATGCATCAAAGATGAAAACCCCTTTTTTTGTTGGCATTTATAACCTATTATAAAGTAAAAAGAAATTAACTAGCACAAGTCAAAGTACATTATGACTGATTCACACTGGGATCTTTAGTCCACCAGCTGAAGCAGGGACCAAGTGTCCACTGTACCCAGGACCTGGGAAAGCCCAGGGAAGAATAAAACACAACCAGGATACCCTCCGGTCCCAGCATGGCTCATTCATTCATTCATCTATCCGTCTCAACTGCTCAGCAAAACATACCCACGCACTTCCCAAGTTCCAGGCAGTGGGCCAGGTGCTGGACCTACAGACATGAACAGGGAGAATCTCTGCTCTGTTCTCAATTTGCTTGGCCTTGTGCAGACTGTCCTCTTTTCCCAAAATCCAGCATGTCCTCCTGACACCCCATCCCTGCTCCTGGTCATCCTTCCAGGCTCAAAACCTGAGCTACTGATGCCATCAGCATCATAAGTCTTGGCGGTAGATGAGACGAAATCAAGTTATCATTCCAGAGAAACAAAGAGATGGAAGGCTTTGGATTTAATGCCAACAGACCAGGACCAGGCCCCATTCAGAAGGAAAAGTTTCAAAGTAGACCTGGATCAGGTGGATGACTCTCCGAAAAAAAAAAAAAAGAAAGTGTTACAGCCGCAATTAAAGCATATCTGATTGAGCAGAGCCAAAAATGAGACAGTTTCTGAGGCAACAGACAGAGCCTAAGCATAAAACGGGGCCTGTCCAGTGGCTAGAGCTGGACCAGCAGAGAAGACCCACCTACACCTCAGGGCCTCTCCTGGAAGAGGCATCCTCAACCTCAGCCAGCCTGGGAGCTTCACTCTGGCTCTTGAGGTGAGCTAAACGCCAAGAAAAGAGTCAGAAACAATATGAATGTGGAAAAGAATGATAAGGACATAATAATAAAAGATAATAAGGAAACATTTAAGTCCATGACATAGGCACTGTTGTTTCACTGGTCAGTTTTGTGATGATTCTAACAAACCTGAGTGATCTCTCTCATTTGAAAGTGTTTAAAGTCTTTAAAAGAATTTCCTGTTCTGTGAAATGTTTAACTGACCCTGCAATCAATATTTAAATGTCTGGGGAAATCTGAGCTGATGTCGTGATTTACTGGTTTTGTGAATACTTTGGAAATATTTAGAGAAAGTTTAATTGTTAAAAATTAATAAATTAGACACTAGACCAAGAACATATAGTAGTGAATGTTCCTTCTCAAGTAGAAAAATGCATGGGGAGCTTTTGGCTATTATGATGACATGATGAGTTTTGGGGTTGGTTGGTTGGTTTGAAAAAAATATTCCGGTGGGAGTGGAGGACAGACCGGAGAAAAAGATTAGAAGCAGCAGGACTGTTGAGGTGATATTCTGGAAGCTATTCCCACCCATGTTCTGCAATTCCCAGGCCTCATGCCTTTGCTCAAGCTGTTTACTTGCCTAAAACACCCCTTACACCCTCATGTCTAAAATTACCTATGCTCCAAGACCCGGGTCGAAAGTTGTCTCTTCCAAGCTCTCTCTGATCTCTAGGCAGGTAATTTCTCTCCACTCAGAACTCCTCCAAACAGTGTACCTATGCTAGAGCTCTTTAAACACTCTGCCCTGCGTGATAGTTTCCTAAATATTTATTTAAGCAACAGTTACTAAGCGCTCATTAAACACAGAGTACCCAGCATCCTTCTCTCTCTCCAACTGCACGCTCCTTGAGGCCAGCCCGGACCATACCTCACCAGTGTCCGTATCTCCCACAGGGTCTAGCACAGAGGCCACTACACAGCCAGCATTCAACAAATGTTAAGAATCTGGATGGCATCACACCTCTGTTCCAAACCGTTGATGGCTCCCAATGCTTGTGTAATCCAATCCAGACTTCTGAGCTAGCACTCAGGTCCTCCACCATCCAGCCCAACCTACCTCAGAGTCCCATTTCCCACTCTTGTCCCACACGCGCTCTGTACTCTAGTTGAAGGAGATGCCCTCGTCCTGCTCTCCTGCCCCTGCCTGTGTTGTGCTCTGCATCTGGACCTCTCTCTCACCACCGTCTGCCCAGTCCTGCCCATTGTCCTCCCTGGCTCACCTTAGAGGTCAGATTCTCAGTGAAGCCTTTCCTGGTCAATCCAAGCGGGCAGGAGACCCTGATTTCTCTCTGCCCACGGCACCACATTTTACCTTCCCGATGGCCTCACTGCATTCTATTCTGAGTTCCAGTTATGTAAGTCTCTCTTTTATGAGGCTGTAAACTCTCAGAGGGCAGTAACCACAGCTAGTCAAGGCTTGTGTGGCCTTTGCACCCTAGCAAAGTGTCTCATGTAGAAAGAGTCAGTAAATGGTGGTTACTTGATAAACGATGAATGGATGAACTCCTTTCCCCATTTATGCTTCCCCAAACCCCAGAAACCCCATCTGGACAGGACGGAGACAAAATGGTTCTCTTTGCAAATATGTCTCCCACGAGGAGAAAGGATTAAGAAGGAAGGAGGGAAATCCCAGACATTAGCCTACAGGGGCTTCAGGCTCTTACCTCATACTCAAAGTCACCCCCCAGTGCCCCAATGTCCAGGTGCAGGTTCTTGAGAAGCTCACTTGAGCTGCGGGCACTCTGAAAACAAAAATGATGGAGGAAACTGGTCAGCCCAGGGTGTGGGCCAAGAAGCTTCTCGCCAGTTATGCTTTCTGGGTCAGACTCAGCAGGTATAGAGACTGGGCAAGAAATGAAGCTGTGGGCTAGAAAATCATTTCCACTTATTATCAAAGTAGCACAGAGTTTAGCCAAAAGGTGAAGACAACTCAAGTATCCATCAACAGATGAACAGAGAAACAAAATGTGGTCTATTTACAGACTGGAATACTATTCAGTCATACGTGCTACAACCCGGATGGACCCTGAAAACGTGATGCTACATGAAAGAAGCCAGACAGAAAAGGACAAAGACAGTACATGATGCCACTGATATGAAGTATCTCAAATAGGCAAATTCACAGAGACAGAAAGTAGAAAAGACACCAGGGACTGGGGAGAAGGGAGAACGCAGAGTTAGGGTTTAATGGGTACAGATTCTCCATTTGGGATTATGAACAAGTTCTGGAGATGGACAGCAGTGATGAGTGCATAACATTGTGAAGGTACTTAAGGCCTAATTAAGAACTGTACATGTAAAAGGGGTTAAATGGCAACTTTCACATTATGTATGTTTGACCACAATTTTAAGAAATCTTTAACAGCACATAGGATTTGCAGGCCACGAAGAGGATTTGTCATTACCTGGTTGTCACTCTCCGCCTCATCCTCCTCATTGGTCTCCTCCCCTAAAGCCAAGAGGCCGAGAGCATTCTTGTCCTTGTGGACGGAGCCCAAGAGCCCCTTTGCATAAGCAGACGTCTTGAGACCCTGTGACGGCTCCAAAATAGAGAAGGAGAGTCAAGGCACTTATTGGGAAGATCTTCAGAGTGCTTCCCCCTCTCTTTCTGTTTAGATGTCTCCCAGAGCAAGCCCACCATGTCCAGGAAGCTGAGCCCGACAACTCCCAACTTACACTGACCCCCTCCCTTTCCAACTCCTACCGCCCTGGCTGCAGGGACTGGGAAATCAGCACTGACGTCCCTATGGCCTGGATCCATCCTCCACAGCCCAGAGTCCATGTTCAGCATCATCCAAGTGTGATTCACCTTCCCCACTAGATTATGATTTGAGGAGTCAGCCCATGCCCTCTATTTCTCATCTATGGGCTGTGGTTCCTAGCATGGAACATGGAGGCTTCACAGTAACTACACTGAATACAAGAAAAAGCATTTACCAGCGAGAGTTCCCTGAGCTGACCGGACTCCACCGAGTTCCCCAGGCTCACACCTCGAGATCCACGAAGAGCAGAGGGTGGGGCATCCACCAGGCCTCGTAACGGAGCCAGGCCCCCAAGAGAAACGTGGACGGGGGCTAACGAGGAGCCCAGGGCCTGGGCAACAGAAAACATCCTGTTACAAACCCAAGAAACCACAGGGCTCTCAGAGTGTGGAGAAGGATATAAAAATAAAACATCTAAATCCTGCCCGTTCCAATCTAAACCACCTCCGTTCAGAGGCTGCTAATGAAACACAACATCCAGAAATTATCATCGCGCCGACTGTGTGAGACTCACAGGCTGCCTTCCTGATTCTCGAAACTCTGCCATCTCACAGAAAGCAGGTCCTTCACATCTGGCAGATGCGGCAGACGGTTCTGCTCTCCTTTCACACAGGAAGTGGGGGGAGGGGGAGAGCAGAGACAAAAGCCTCATCTACCAGCATGAGAAGGCTCAATAGACAAAGTTTAAAACTGATGAATCAAGAAAAAGCAGCCTAAGCATGTTATCCACAAATATGGAAGCAAACACCAGAAGACAGCCACTGCCCCTGGGGAGGGGCACACCCACACCCCAGAACTGCTATATTCTGTTGTACGCCTTCTGCTGAGAGCTGACATTGTTTGACACGGGCACGTATTATTTTGATTAGAATACTAACTATGAAAAATGCACACGAGCCACAAAAGAAGAACTCTCCTTCAGCTCTTCACTGATGAGGAACGTGGCCAGAAGGAACCTCACCAAAGGACTGAGCGGGCCCCTACTTCCCCGTTCTCAGGATGACCGACGAAGGCTTCGCGCCAGCGAGGACTGGGAAAAGCACCCACCTGGGCGTCAGAATTTGTGAGACCTTGGGCCACTCACATGCTCTTGGATTCTCAGTTTACTCATTTGCAAGACAGAAGTGAAGTGTGTCTTGCCACTTAGGAAGGTTTGCTGAGAAGTTCAAGTTCCAGCGAGATCCTGAAGGCCAGGAGCCTATGTGTGTGGCCCAGGACTACACCAGCGCTAGGGAACTAATGCTGTTACAAGAATTCACGTTACAATAGCCTGTGCTCAGAGGCAGAGGCAAGGATAGCATTCTGGGGACAAGTTACAAAGAGCTTGTTAAAACTCTCAAACTGAAAATGCATATACACCACCACATCTGAAAGGTGACATGAGATCCCCCTCCTGATTTCTAATCATCTGGCTTATTGCAGGGTTAGGCCATAAAGTTTCTGATTATAATAAAACTGGCCTGCACTGCCTGAGCCCTGGGCACCGGGGTAAGCACCTGTCTCATTTCACTCATAACCACCTAAGGCCTCAGTCCCCACAAGAGCAAATAGAGACCGGTGAGGTCAAGATCGCTGCCTCAAATCACAGGGCCAGCACGGGGGCGGACGAGGGATGGGAACCCAGGGCAACCTCCAAGCCGGTATTTTACACTTCCAGTTGCAGTGGAAAAGGAGCCCAGGAAAGCTGCTCTGAGGTGATCTGTGAGCAAACCCAGCCTGCTCCTCCTGGCTTCTGCCCTCCCAACCAGCCCAGCGGATCAGCAAGTAAAACTCTTCCCACACTGTATTTATGGAAAATTACAGGCTCCTAACATGGCTAATTTGCAAACGTGCTGGGGGCCTGAGGGAGGGAGACGGGAATGCTGAGGGCTTTGTTCTCCCAGGCCTTTACCAAATCAATGGTTAGCAGGGAAATTATACATCCCTGGCTCCTAGCTGATCAGCTTCTATAGATGGCCATTAACTCTGACTATGGGCTGTGCGTGGCGTTGTCCTTCAGAGCGGATAAACTTGCTGCCATTGGGCTAATTAAAACTTTCAGGATCATCTGCAGCTTATCTGATATTTATAGCGCTACAGTAGTTCTCAGAGCTAACGGAGAACCAGTGCACGCCAGCAATTAGGAACCCGGGGTAACAACTGGGTAAAGGCACAGCTGGGCAACAGCAAAGAAGAGCTGGGGAAAAGCAGCTCGACCCCTGGGGTCTCTAGTCCAACCTGACTTCTGAATGAAGATGATGACTCTTTAAGGGACAAAGGGTCAGAATGACAGGGTAAGCCCAACCCTTGGGTAAATCCCGGTAGCAGGGGGTGAAGGCCCAAACGCAGTCTGCACAAGCCCGAGGTTATTCACGTGGTTCTGGAAACTCTGGGAAGCAAGGAGCGGAAGAGCTCACTGAACGGTAGAAATCTTCTAGGCTTCAGCCTCTCACGACAGTATTAACTCTCCAGTCCTCTGTGATTCTAAGAAGGGGCTACGTTCAGAGCCTGGGGGTAGGGTGTCTACTTGGGAGGACTCTTCTATAATCAGCTGATAGGGAAGGCTTCCCAAGTCCTGGGACAGTCCCTACATCTTGCATGAGTGCCAAGGTCAGCACCACTTTGCTCACTCTCAAGACTGATCATCTTCAGAGCACGTGAACCACCCGAATTACACTGAGATCCAGGGAAGGGAAGTCTAGATACCCTCAGCCCGTATCTTGCAGGTGATGGGGTAAAAGCAGCAGGAAATGCATGTCATCCTACAATTGACCATCCTGGGTGGTTATGGGATCGACAGTTACCAAGGGAGGACAAAGAACAGGAGAGCAGACCTGATGGCTGCGTTAAGATGGTCAGCTCAGCCTGCTCCCTCCCTGCCAAGTTCACTGAGGCCCACAGGCCATGCTCTCTAAGAAGCCTACCTGGTCGAGAAGCTGCATCTTGCCTGGCTCTGCAGCGAGCCCTCTGTTGGAACTCAGTTCAACCAACCCCTGCCTGAGGGGGCTGCTGCTTGGCTGGAAACAGGCTTGCTGAGAGGCCTCCTGCCCAGCCGGGGAAATGGCCACCTCCTGAGGATGCTCCAGCAGCTCTGGCCCCCAGGGCAGAAACCTGGAGTCCATGGCTCCGATGGCCTCGTGCTCGCCCTCACTAGACATCCTGGAAGACTCGGCTGCCGGACAATAGACCATGTTGGTAAGATCTTTGCACGGAATTTCCTGCACACTCTCGGGCAGCCCCAGGCCTTCCAATCGCCTAGAGATCTTGACCGTCTGCAGGATTTGCTGGTAGAACCTCTGATCCTCAGAGTAGTCTTCACTCTCTGACTGCTCATCAGCGGAGCTTTGCATGTGGGACAACTGGGGCGCTAGGAAGGGGCTGGGGTGCTGCTCTCTGGGCCCAGGGCCTGACTGACCCACATCCTGCTCAGATTCCTGTGAGCTCTGCAGGTCCCATAGGAAGTTGGTCACCTCGCCCAGGATCTCAGAGCCAAGGTGAGAGGCCAGGCTCCTGCTGCTGGTCTCCAAGTCAGGCCCAAACCCACTCGGCTTCCTGCCTTCTTCGGGCGGCTCTGGAGAGCCTGGGGGTGGTCTTTTCTCACTGGCAGGAGACTCCCCAGGGGCACTTCCTGCAGGGGAGTTCTGGGCTGGTTCTGAGGTCAGGGTACCAGGGGGGATTAGCAAGGGTGGGCCTTCAACTGAGGTCTCTGGAGACTCAAGGTCATCAGATTCTGTTTTCTTGCCACTCCCAGGGGTGTCCTTGTGGACAAATTTGGAGACCTGTCCCATCCACAATCCCAGGGGCTCTCTCCTCCTCCTGCCCCTGCCCACGCTCCCACCTTTTCCAGACACGCCCTGCCAGCCGAGGTCTCTGGCTGGGATGCTATCTGACAAGAACAGCTTGCTCTTCCTGGAAAGCAGCATGGGGTCAGAAGAACAAGGTAACAGGGAGGGGTCCTCCTCGGGGGATGGTGAGGGGATGGGGCTCTGACCCTTGTCCCCCCCAGGGCCAGAGGAGATCCTCTGGGCCACATTGTGGCTGTGCTGCTTCCCTTTCAGCTGTGGGCCTTTGAAGGTTTCCGAAAGCTTCGAGCAGACAGAGGCCTGGCTCCTGCCCTCTAATATATCCTGCCTGTTCCGGAAGGGCTCGGAGTTCTCGGGGCCCAGAGGGCCAGGTTTCCGCTGTCTGGTCCTCATCTCCAGCTCTTCTATTTCAGGGTCTGAAAACCCCAGGTAGATTTTCTCTGCCAGCTGCTGGGGTTTCTCCAGACCCTGCTGATCACCTAACTCTGTCCTGCAGTGGGCTGGGGCCCTGCCTAAGATTTTCTCCACGTTGGCAAAGATCTGGTGGGTTCGGGAAGCTTGGCCTTTGGAGAGCGGCTGTAGCTTGCTGGGCAGGGAGCCCATGAGAGGCCAAGGGGTGTCACCCAGCAGACACGGGCTCTTTCCTTTCTTAGAGGAGCCCTCACTTCTAGCCTGCATCTCTTGATTTAAGTCCAGGTCAGCAAGCCCAGGTGCTAGGAGAGGGGGTGGGCCGCGGAGAAAGGAGGAAGGAGGCAGAAGTCCCTGCTCAGGCTGTGTTTCCTAGATGGGTATATAAATAGGCAGAGAAAACTAAGACAAAACACTTGTAATTTCTACTTACTACCTCCATTTCTGGTAAACCTTTAGCAGAAACCCACCCTCCATTTAAAGTAAAACACAAACCCAAGAGGGAAGAAAAACTAAAAACTCCCTTGGGCTTTGTTGTTTCCCGAGTTCTAGCTTCTTTATGTGTAAAGAGGAGGCTGGGCTAGATCGATGGCTTACAAACCTTCCTCCATGGAACCTTGGGGGTTGGTTCCACGTGGTACCTTGGGGGCCACCTATAGGGTGCATGTGACGGGAAAGGGGTATCCCCAAGACCCACACCCCCAGGTTCAACCATAGCAGCTCCACTTCTTCTTTATATGCTGGACCTCTATGAAGGAACTGACTGGAAGACAGACACTACTAACAGAAGCCTGAAAATCACCAACTAGGTCATACGGAAGGTAACATCAAGCTCTTAATTCTGTGATTGGTCAATGTCATAAAATCCACCATCCTTATTACGGACTATCAGAAATAGTCTAAGAAGGGAGAGAAGAGGGGAAACATAAGCAGTGAGCTGAGCCTTGGAAACTTGGACTGGGTCTGCTACCAAAGGCACAGGGGTTGAAACTGCTCAAGAGAGGTCCACATGGTCAGAGAGTCTTAGGGCAGAAAAAACCCTAAAAGATCAACCACATCCGGCAAAACATTCACACTGAACTCCCCCCAGCTCATAAGCACACATCTCCAGAGAGCCCAAACCCCCTGAGCCTGGTCGCCCACCTGGTCAGCTCCAACCCCTGGACAATCTCCGGTTTGAGCTGCCTGTTCTGAGCCCTAAGATCCAGAACGGCAGCCCAGGGCTGTCCAACTGCCCTCAGCTCCTGAAACCACAGAAGGAATCCTTTTTCACACAGCGCTCCAGGAACTCAGTCACACACCTAGAACTTGGTCCGTTACCCGGTCCTCCACCCAGAACCCTCACTTCATTCTCTCTCTCACCTCTAGTCATGCCAGAGCCTGCCCAGATGCTAACTATCATTTAAAAGAGTTCTGGGTTGCTGAGAAGCCCATTATCCATCTTTTATCTTTCAAACACACGCCATTAGAAAATGTCCCCCTTTGGCAATTACTTGTCCTCTTGTCTCTGTCTGGAGGAATGGGCTTGTTATCTTATTTCTCAGAACCATGACTGGTAATATGGGGGGCGGGATGCAGTAGTATCTGTACAGCTTGGAATGATAAAAAGGATAAATTCAAATTCACTAGCAACCTTCAACATCAGAACTGACACCTTGGGAAGGAAGGAAAGAAAATGGAGGAAATCTTCACTGAGAAGTCAGCACCAGGAACCAGTGGGAAATAGACAATAAGTAAGAGCGCAAATCGACTGGACCATTAGGAGGGTTGAAAAGATATCCCCACTGCTCCCCACCTGGCTACCTGGGTTCCCATGTCCCTCCCTCTCGTCATCGTGGCCCACCAGCCGCACACCTGGGTGAAGGGAAGAAGGCCAGGTCCCCAGCACCACCGCAGTGTTCTGGGAGAGCCTGGGCCTCGCCTCAGTACAGCCCCAAGTCTCAACTTCTCCACCTATAAAAGAAGGGTGATAGCTCTGCTCTCTAAGTTCAGACACACTGGAGGGACAAATACAACCATGACAGGAAAGATCACTTTCAGCTCTGAGCAGAAAAGCTACTGGAGATCAAGGTGATCACACTGCAGTCAAATTTCAGCTACCCACCCTGAGCCGAGGACACCAGCAAAGACGATCCACGGGAGCAGATAAAGCCCCAAGCTTTTCTTTTTGGATCTTGAAGGCACTGGTGTTCTGAACACTGAATTACGGCTCATCAAATGTCTAGGAATCTGCACCACTGAGACACAGGAGGAACCCACACCAGGAAGGCCTGACTCTGAGAAAAGAGAGGCACTCTGCTCAGCTCGGCTCTCTGGCCTATGCCAACGGCTCCCTGTGCTCCGGATCTCCAGCAGGGCAAATGGCATCCCTTCTTAGACTGCTGCAAAACACCATCCTCAGCAGAGCACGTGCTCACTAATCCTATCATGCAGTTTGTGCCTCCCAAGGAGGAAAAAGAAATTGCTTAGAGAGAGTAACAACTTCTAGAAACTGAAAAGAAAACTTGCCAGAAGAGAGACACAATTCAGATGATATGCCGTCAAAAAATGACTGTTGCTGCTGCTGTTCTCAATCCCCCGGCTGTGAAGAGCTAGAGCTTCCCAGCATGCCCTTGGGTTCAGGCCTGGCCTCTGGGAGCCGGACCCGCTGACTCACCAGGGGGCTTCTGGAGGTCTCTTTGTCCTTCTTGTCTTTCTTTTCCTTTTTCTTTTTCTTTTCTTTCTTCTTAACGACCCCGGGAGTGGAGAGCTTCCCTCGCTCTTGGATCACCAGGTTCCGATAGTGCTCATCACAAGGGTGGTCCCACGTGGACTGCCCATTGGAGAAGTTGAAATAGTAAATATCACCTGTGATATCCTGGCTGGGGATGAGCAGAGGTCAGAAGTTAGTCCCTGCTCAGGTCCAAAGCTACATATGGAAAGAAGAAGAAAGAAGAAGGATGGGGGAAGGAGGAGGGAAGAGGAGAAGAAGGAGAAATGACAAGGAGGTAGAGAAGAGGAGAATTATGGGGAGAGGCATAGAAGGAGCGAGAAGGAAGAAGAGAGGAAAGGATTAACACAAAATTGAAGGGTACCATTTGACTAAGAATGAGAACTTCCCTTAGAAACAAACGACTGGGACACCTAAGGACTTCTCTAGAATGGAGACACCCCCTGTTCCTGAAGAGAAAGATTCAAGTCTGTAAACATGCCAATAATCCCCAAATTAATGTACAAATCCAATATAATCCTAATCAGGCTCCTTAAGAAACTTGACCAGCTCAACCTCAATTCAAATAAAAGGGAAAATATGCAGTAAAAACAGGAAAAATATCAGGGGTAAAAGAGAAAAAGAAGACATGCAAATGGCCAAGAAGCACATGATAAGATGCTCAACATCACTAAACATTAAGGAAATGAAAATTAAAACCACAGTGAAATCCCACTTCATCCCCATCAGCATGATTAATATTAAAGAAGCAGAAAATAACAAGTGTTGGTGAGAATGTAGAGAAACTGGAAACTTTGTGCACTTCAGGTGGGAATGTAACATGGTGCAGCCACTGGAAAAACAGGATAATAGTTCCTCAAAAAATTAAAAATAGAATTACCATACGAACCAGCAATTTCACTCCTGGGTACATACCCAAAAGAACTGGAAGTGCAGATTCAAACAGATATTTGTACACCATTGTTCACAGCAGCATCACACACATGGCTAAACAGAAATTCTCAGATGCCAGAAACAGAAAGAAAACATGAAATCTGAGTAGGGGAGGGGGAATGGAGGAAGGGTAAGTTAGGAGTTTGGAATTAACAGATACATACTATTATATATAAAATAAACAAGGACCTACTGTAGAGCACAGGGAACTATATTCAGTATTTTATAATAACCTATAACAGAGAAGAATCTGAAAAAGAATATACATACACACCTGAAATCACTTTGCTGTATGACAGAAACTAACACATTGTAAACAAACTATACTACAGTGAAAAATACATTGATTAATTATTAAAAAAAGTTATCTTTTAAAAAAAAAAGAAAGAAAACATGAAACCTGAGTAATAAGTCCATGAATTGACAGGTCAAGATCAGTATTTGACCTGGACACAGGCCCGGGAAACTTGGGTTTTAAAGTCCATTCAGAGAACAATGTGGCCTTAGGCCTTCATGAATTTGTAAAGTGGAAATGAGACCCCTGGTGCATCTGGGGCCCTCGGGCTGTGCCGTCCACGAATAAGAGGACCTAGTGGGCCATGGAAGCAGCAAGGAAGCGCGTCACCCACTCCAGGTTCCAGGCAGGTGCAATAAAATTTCATGAAAAACTGAAACCCCAAGACACTTGTGGGTATATAGTTCAAAAGATGGTAAGGAAATCCCACAAAAGATGGTAAGGAAATCCCAAGTCAGGAAATCAATGTAAAAATTTAGTCCTAAACCACTGAAAAGCCCTTGCAGAAACCCTTGCAAAGCCACCCAACAATGTAGGAGTGAGACCTCTACAGGAGATGAACTCACAAGATGCACAGTAAATAATTACAAACCACGTGAGGCAACATGTCACCATAAGGGAAAATCAGTGACACAATGAAGAGAATTGTGAGAGCAGAATGACCAAAGACAACTAAAAATAACAGCGTTTAAAATTACTGTGGGGAGAAAAGGGGTGGAATCCATAATGAAAGACAGACCTCTAAAAAGAAACCAGACATGTTGAAAAGAACATAACAGAACGTGAAGGAATTGGTAGAGTCATTAAATTAAAAACAAAGAAAAAAAAAAAAACCAGATGGGTTAAAGAGCAGATCTGACACAGAAGAAGAAACAAATAGTGACTTGGGAAATACATATACTAAAGGAAATTATAAAATATAATTTTACATTTTGTAAATGTGAAACAGAAGTTAAGAGACCTGGAGGATAAAATAATAAAGTCCAATACATTTCTAGTAAGAGTTCCAGAAAAGAAGTGACAACGGTTGAGAACTTTCCAAAATTAAATAGAGACGTGAGTCTTCAGAGGAAGAAAGCACTCCAAGTCCTGAACACAGCAAATAAAAATGAATCCATACCTAGATACATTGTAGAGAAATGACAGAACACTGAAGATTAAAAAAAAATATAAAAACTGGAGGGGTGGAGGTTGATCACCTATAAAGACAACAAATGAGACCGACAAACATGTTTAATTAACGAAACCAGAAGTCAGAAGGTAAAGGTGCACGATATTGTCAAAGGGCTGTTCCACAAGTAATTCTGTACTCAACTAAACCATTATTCACGGGTGAGACCAGACAATAATTGCTCAGGACACAGCAAGATGAACACGTTTAGAAGGCTTGATATAAAGGACATTTACTTAAGAACCCTGTATCCAAAAATGAGAGACTACATTCTTATCAAGCACATACAGAAACTTAATATAAACAGGGCCACTTACTGAACCACAAAAGAACTCTCAACATATAACTAAGAATAGAGACTGGGATATTGTGCTGTACATCTGAGAGAGACACACTGTAATTGATTCTACTTCAATTAAAAAAATAGATATAATAAATAAAATTGGAAATCAGTAATTTAAAAATTACCCAAACTCTATCTCATCCCCTTCAAACTATTATTTTGAAGCAAAGACACTTAACACAATTTTAGAAAATCAAATCCAATAATGTATAATCATTACCAAGTGGAGTTTACCCCAGGAATGCAAGGCTGGTCTAATCAATATAACTGACCATATTAATAGACAAAGAGAAAAAAAAATCATATAATCCTATCAATAGATGAAGAAAAAGTACTTGATAGAATCCAACATCCATTTCTGATTTAAACTCTCAGCAAACTAGGGATACAAGGGAACTTCCTCATCCTGACAAAGGGCATTTACAAAACCCTACAGCTAACATCATACTTGATAGCTTTCCCTGTAAGATCAGGAATAAGGCCAAACATCCACTGTCACCACTTCAGTTGCACTGGATGTTCTAGTCAGTGTAGTAAGGCAAGATATAGAAATAAAAGGGATCCACGTTAGAAGGAAGAAGTAAAAATGTCTTTATTCCCAGAAGACATGACCATCTATGTTGGAAATCCTCTAGAATCTACAAACAAGCTACTAGAACTGACATGAGTAAGTTTAGCAAAGTTGCAGGCTGTAAGATCAGCATACAAAATACAATTTTATTTTTATATGAATGCAACCATCAACTGGAAACTGACATCCTAAAAGATACCATTTACAGAAGTATCAAAAAAAGAGATAAATCTGACAAAATATGGGCAAGATGTGTACACTAAAAGCTATAAAGATTTCTTAGAGATATTAAAGAAAACCTAAACAAATAAAGAAAGACTGCGTTCGTGAGTTGGAACACTCAGTATGACTTAAGGTGTCAGTTCTCCCAAATTGACTTACAGACTCAATGTAATCGCAGTCAAAATCCTAACAGGATTTTTTTTGTAGAATTTGACAAGCTGATTCTAAAATTCATATGGAAATGCAAAAGACCTAGAATACGACTTTGAAAATGGACAACAAAGTTGGAGGATTTACCCTAAATGATTTCAAGATTTATAATAAAGCTATAGTCATCAAGACAGTATGGCGTTGGTATAAATGCAGACAAACAGATCAATGGAAGAGAGCAGAGAATTCAGAAATAGACCCACATATAATGGTCAATTTGGAAAGAAAGCTACAGACTTTTCAATATGAGAGCAGTTAAGTAAATCAGCATTTTTAAAGTGTAATACATCTATACATGGAAAAGTATGCAGCTTATAAGAATGAGGTAGACTTTCACACACTGACACAGAAGAGCCAATGTACACTGCAAAACAGGTTTAAAAAAATAACACTGGGGGGTGGTGGCATTAAAAGACGTGAAAGGAATTCCCCAATTAACAGCAATTACTCATGGGATTGGGAATAAGGGTAAAAGATAACACGTATACATAAGTTTCAACAACTTATTTTAAAAAGTGAGAAACAGTTCACGCTTTCCTTCCAGGATGAGAAAGCATTAGCCTCTCTGATGTATGTGCACATTAAGGTATTATTCTACTGATTACATTTCTCATGTGGTTTTTAATTAGAAAATGTATCCAAAGGCAGAACAGCACAGACATATACAAACTTAAAAGCATAAAGAGAAGAAAGAGATTAATAGACAAGACCAATGCGGATATTGGGGGGGATACTGGAAACCAAACAGAAACGGCCATCCTACAAACTTTTCCTACAGACACAACTGTGAGTCCTCAGCACCTGGAATACTGTGTGCAGTGCTGACGGCGTCACAAGAAAGATGTCACAAACTGGAGAAGGTCCAAGGAAAGGTGGCTAAAGAGATCCAGAGAACAGGGAGCCTGCCGTGTGAGAAGCTGAAAGGATTACGACTGTGTGGCGGAGATGAGTAAGGCTAGGATGGCAGTCGTTTTGAAGCATGGCCATCGCATCAAGCGGTACAGAGGAGAACAGGATAATTACACTTGGCACACAAAATGCACAATACTCGTGGAAGAGGCGACCCCCTAAGACATCTGGGGACTAGTCTGGGACAGACACAGGAAATCCCATCCTCCGGCAGGAAGTAAACTCAGGGCACTGACCGTAGGGAGACAAGTGGAGAGAGGTCTGTGCATGTGATGAGAACGGAGCAGCGTCAACAAGATTGGGGTCCCCAGGGGGTGAAAAAAGGCAGCAGCTGCCCCCTCCTCGGCCAGTCTGTCTCCTCACCATCAACCTCTGCTCCCCTGAGACAGCCTGAGCGAATGCCTGCTTCTCACAATCCAAAGAGCTCAAACCAAAACTGGAAACACGCACGGATCTACAAATATGGACCTATTCGTGAACAGGTTGCCCAAATCCAGGGATGGGCTGTCAGGGGAGACAGAAACCACTGCCAGTCGGTGTAGCCTCACTACAGACCTCTCCAGCACCAGCATCCACTGTGGACCTCTGAGGGGTCACTACCCATCTCAGTCTGCAAAGAGTAACAGTGACAGCTCCTCAGTGGGTCTGAAACTGATGCTGGCCCAGAGGACCTGACGCAGGGCGGCAGCTTATATCCTGGGACCCTGGATATCAGCACTGAACCCGTCCAGGGACCATCAAGGTGACCTGGGCTCAGGCCCTAATCAACAGGCAGCCCATCAGAGGACTGGCCCATGGCTGCCCCCAACTCTATGCAGGACACCTTTCAAAAGGTGGCCGGCTAAAGCTGATGGCTGGTGTCAGGCCCCCTCTGCCTGACAGGCCAAGCCGGTGGGCTGCACCCGTGTTGACTCACCATGGTTTCCAATCCACAGGCAGTGGGGCCACGATCCCCTCCCGTGCCAGCCACATCAGCTCAGGTTCCTTTACCGGATCAATACCGATCTCTTTGGCAAATTCAAGAATTTCTGCAAAGAGGGGCAGGAGGGTGGGAGAGTAAGAGAGGTGGGGGCGGGGAGGGAGGTGGTGGTGGATGCAAAGAAGGGAAAATCACAGTCTTGTGAGCTGATAAGACATACACTGGTCTCTGCCCCAGTTCCTGTTAATATTTGGTCTCTGGTCCCAGTTCCTGACACAGAGCTCTTAAATTCCTTGGAACTTCCTGAGTGATAGGAGAGTCTTTGGTCCCAATGAGGTGACTCTGGGTATGCTCCTGGATGGCTCCCGATCACCAGAAAGACTAGGCCATGATTAGAAGCTTGGAACTTTCAGCCTCAGCCCCCACTCTCCAGAGAGGGGCTGGAAAATGAGCTAACAAGGGATCATACCCACACAAAGAAGCCTCCATAAAAATCCCTAAACAAGGGGTTCAGAGGGCTTCTGGCACCTCCACTTGCCGGGAGGGCGGCACAGCCCAACTGCATGGGGACAGAGCTCCTGCACTTGGGACCCTCCAGGCCCCCGCCCTGTGCATCTCTTTATCTGGCTGTTCACCTCCATCCTTTAGCATATCCTGGATGGGTCACCTCAGTGGAGGAATTTGAAGGCTGACATACCTGGGGACTAGGAAAGACAAAAAGGACCAGCTGGAATTTGGCTAGCCGAGAACTAACTGGTTCGTTCACTTTGCAAATATTTGAGTGCCTCCTATGTGCCAGTCACCCTGTGCTGTGACCAAGAGAGAAATCGCCTCTGTCCCTATGGAGCTTACATTCTGATAGAAGAAACAGCCACTGAAGATGAAAACAGATAAATACACAAGGTATTAAAGCTGATGACAAACACACCAAGGAAGCAAATGAGGTGTGAGATACAGAATGTCAAGGTGGAGGGGCGCTCCTTTAGAACGGGTGGTGGGAAAACCTGGCAGAACAGTGACACTTAACTAAATCCTATAGGAACCACAGAAGCCAGCCATGCAGAGCACTGAGGAGAGAGCATTCAGGCAGAAGAGCAGGTGCAAAGGGCCTGTGACACATCGCAGCCTGGCCTGTCTGGGGACAGGCAGAGTGAGGCACAGAGGGGCAGCGGGTGAGCCTAGCCAGGTGGCAGGGCCAGGCTCCGCAGAGGCCTGCAAATCCCACTGAGGCTGTCATGCTGAGTAAAAGGGAAGATTATTAAAAGCAGAGCCCTGATACCACGTGCTTCACACCATAAGGTCACTCTAGTGCAGCACAGGCTGGAGAAGAACATGAGGAGAAGCAGGGAGGCTGATTAGGAAGCTGCTCAGAGTCCAGAAGAGAAAATGGCAGCTCAAGCTTAGGACGTCTACACCTGACTGAGCAGAAGAGAAGTTTCATCAATCCTTAGAAAAAGTTACACCCCATCTATGACAGCAAACCAAAAAAGATAAAAGATACTTAAGAAATAAACTGAGCAAGAAATGTGCAAAACCTAAATAAAGAAAACTTCATCACTCCTGAAGCACACCAGAAAGACACAAATGGAAAGGAATTCGATGTTCTTGGATCAACATCCAAGTTGACCTGAATGAACAATGTAACCGCATAAAGATGTCAATGCTCCCCAGGTTCATTCATAAATTTAACACAATTTTCTCTAAAATACCAACAGTTCCCAGACACACAGCCCTCCCCAGAACTGGACAAGATGATTCTCAAGTTCATGGGGCAATAAAACAGACAAGATAATCAAGAAAACTTTCAAAAAAGAAGAGCCATGAGGGCATGTCAGCCTTATTAGGTATTAGAATTTATCACTGAGCCTCAGTTAATTAAGAGCATGGTACTGGCATATGACTAGACAGCCCAATGGAACAAAAGAGAGAGCAGACTCAAACACACACGGGCGACATGCAGCTGGCGAGGGAAAGGTGCACTATTCCATGAATGGTGTGGGACCAAACCTGAGAAAATGTGAGAGCAGGGAGGCCTTTTTAACTATGATACAAAATTCAGGGGCCACATGAGGGCGGACTGATACATTTAACATAAAGATTCAAAATTTCTACGTGGCAAACATACAAAAATCCCATGCTGTAACAAATCCTATCCTGTCCTAATGTGGGATCCACGGACTCCTCCACATGCAAGAGTTCTTCCACAAAACTGGCTTGTAAACCACCTAAACTATAAGCAAAATCTGTGTGCCTGGGTCCACGCCCCTAAGAATTTCAAAGAAATCTTCACTCCCCCCCAAATAGCACAGTGCTGCAAAGTGCAAGCCCCAAAGCTGTAACACCTGGGTGTGGAAGCCAGCTGCCCCAATTAGCACACTCTGTGACTTCAGGGAAGTTACTTAACCTTGCTGTGCCCTGGTTTCCTCATCTGTAAAATGGGGATAATAATAGTACCTAACTCATGGAGCTGCTGTGAGGGTTGAAAAGGAAACACATGTAAAGTTCTTAGTAGAGACTGGCACATAGTGGCACTCAATTAATGTTGTTATTATTGTTATTAACAATGTTATTCTTGTTTTAAAAAACCACTGCTTTAGTTTGTTCTTAAGCAATTCAGTTTTCCCTGGCCTCAGAACACACTGTATTTCATGATATCCCCTACGATAGTTTCATGTAAAACTAATCACTGATCTGACCCAAGGTCAGCCAAGCAACAGGCCAGGTTAGGCCTATGGGCTGCAGTTTGCCAACCCCTGATCCAACCCAACTATCCTGACAGCCCTGTGCATGTACTTCGCACTGGAAGAACAAAAGTAAATCAGACATAATTGCCCTCAAAGCACTATTACAGTTCACCCAGGCCTCTTACCTTGCTCACTGGGGATGTAGGTCTCATCATAATCTTCCTCCAGAACCAGCTGGTCTCCTATGCGAATGGGTCTTCCGGCCATGATTGGTCTGAGCTCGAACGCCTAGATCCCAGAGACCCCCACCCAAAGAGAAAACCAGTGCCCCAGCTTAGAAGGGGGAAAGCTGGGTTACCAACACCTGCAGGCCAAGTGAGCGGAGGGTGGGCCTCAGAACTCAGGCCTCACAGGCTCTGCACCAGTGACAGTTCCCTGGGACACACTTCCCCCAAAGCCTTGCCGAACACTCCGTGGACCACAAAAGATCTGGAAACTTAGCTCTCTCAAGAGTTAGACTTCATACACTCCCCCTGAAATAGGAGTAAGAACTAACAGTATAGAACCCCCTGCTAGAAAACCCTAGTGAGACACCAAAATAACTAGCAGCACACACACCCCCGGATACCAACATACGCCACGCTGTCCCAACACGTACCCCCATATACATTCAACAACACCCTAGGGAGCTTAAAGTCTAGTGGAGGTCAGCACGCCAACAGTAGTAGAAGGCAGAAGGGACAAAACACATCCTGCTAGAAGTAACATATGCCCCCTGAAGGGATGAAGGAAGGCTTTGTCAAGGGGCTGGGTACCAAAGGCGGGCAAGAGTTCTGAGAGTGGAGAGAGGAATTCTAGGCAGAGGGAACAGCACGTGCAGACAAGGTGTTCTGGAGCAGCGATGCCAGCGTGCATGGCAGGGGCGGGGGTTGAAAGCCAGGTCTGGGTCTGGTCGTGGAGAGCCTGGTAGTCGATGCTGAAGGACCCTAACTCTGCTCTGTAGCAAAGGGGAGTCACTGTAGGCTTTGGTGGAAGAAAGTGACATGGAATGGCCTTTTTTAGGGTGAGAACTCTGGCAGGAGAGGCCTGGCTGGACTGGAGAAATGAGAGACTGGGGTCAGGAAAACCACTGAGGAGGCTGCCGGCCCGGGGAAAGACGATGAGGACTTAAACCAGGGCAGAAGCAGAGGAATGGAGAAGGGACAGACACGGGGAACAGATGCTGTGATGTGCGGTTTACTAGGACCAGGATGGGGTGGGGGGGAGAGTGGAAAGGAATCAACCTGAATCCAAGGTTTCTAGTTCCAGAGACGAGGCAGAGCCACAGTCTTCAAGTGACAAGTGTGCACTTCTAAAACTGCTCCTCCCTTCCCATCCCGACTCCGGCAACTACCTCGGGCCCCAGGTCACAGCGCCTCTCCCCTACAGCAGCTCCCACACTGAAGCCTGAGACAAGTCACCCTGTAAAGCGGCTGCTGCAGATGGCCCTGCGGAGCGCCTCCCCAACCGAGGGGGTGTCTGCCACACTAGGGCGACCAAAGGCGGACTGGAGGAGCAGGTCCTGACCTCTCCCGTAGCCACCTCTTCAGAAGCTGTCACTGCTCCACCTGAGGCAGCAAGCGTGACCCAGCCCTCGCAGAGCAGGGGAAGCGAGTAGGAAGACCCTGTCATGGAAGAGAAAGTCGGGGGAGGGGGATATATATAGCCGAGTGGTAGAGTGCATACCTAGCATGCATGAGGTCCTGGGTTCAATCCCCAGTCCCTCTGTTGAAAAATAAACAAACCTAATCCCCCATCCCTACCCCCCCCCAAAAGAGAAAGAAAGTCGGGACATGGCTTGTAATGAATGATCAGGGAACGGCCAGGTCTGGTGACACTGGAGAGGGATCCCGGTCTTGCCTTAGGACTCACAACAGACGGTTCCCTTTGTCAGTAACTGGACTCAAGGGAGCCAGGCTCTGCCCCCGCTCACTCCAACCATGACACCTCCAAGCAGTAACTTCCTGTCTCAGGAAGAAAGGCTAAAGGAAGAGGCATTCTTCCCAGCTGGAATCTGCTCCCTACCCTAAGAACCCATAACGCCTTGAGGACGCGATGCTTAAGCAGGCGCACGTGAGGAGATGAGTGGGGGCCGACCCAGACAAAGTAGATCAGAAAAGTACCAGGAACCAGGGCGAGAGATGTGGCCCATGGCCTGGTGGCTGAAGGAGTCCTCGGAATCTTTAATCCTGAGTCAGGGAGGAGACGGCGAGAAAGTGGGAAAGGACCCCTAGGGAGGGAGGAATCACAGCGGCCTGAACATTAGGCTGGACATTATTCACCAGGCAGTGATCTTACAAGGCATTGTACTGACCAGCTCAGAGCACGTGAGAAATTCTGCATTGGAGAAATGTTACCTATCCCTCGACACGTCCCATCTCCAGAAAGCATGGGGCAGGTAGAACCTCTGTCCTCGTGGCAAAATGCCTAATTATCTCTTTACAGAACGGTCTGTGTTTAACTATTTAAAGATCAGGAAGACCATGGAAAATCTAAATTCATGAGTCACTCAATGTCAAACAAATCTCCTGCCAGAAAAAGATTAAAATAAGGGTAGGGTATAGTCTACCTTCTTTCCTTGCCTGGCTTCAGGAGAGATGTGGGCAAGGCCAGGGACAAAAGGGCAGGAGGAGGGAGGTGCAGGGATGGGGAAGGCGGGGGAAGAGAGACCATATTTGTTCAATGGCTCCTAGAGATCATTTACTCACTCGAGAAATATTTGCGCAGCTACTAAATTTATTTACTGCTGCACTTGAGATGACAGGTGATTAAAAACAGATTTAGCTGCTACTCCCCTGGAGCTACAGTTGAGTGAGGAAGGGAGACAAACCAATCCAACAGTCACAGAGAAGTGTATGGTTTTAAATGAGGTTAGAGCTCTGAAGGAAATGAGCGTGATTTAGATGAAGCCTAAGCTGAGAGATGAAGACTGAGTAGGTATTGACTAGAGAAAGAGAGAAGAAGGTGTTCTAATAGAAGCAGCAGCACGTGTGAAGGCCCTTCAACAGGAAAACAACACTAAGCGAGAAGCAGCATCGTTGGAGATGATGCTGGGCAGGTGGGTGGAAGCCAGGCCATGCCGAGAACCTGGCCCTTAAAATAAGAGTTGGAAGCGGGGAAAGGGTTTTTCCAGACATGCATTTTGAAAAGATCACTCTGGCAGCCCTTGGAAATACAGACAGGAATGGAAGCCAGATTGGAAGGAAGAAAATCAGAGTGGCTGCAAAGAGATGAGGTTGGAAACCACAAGCCTGTCTAGATGAGAGGTGATGATAACCTGGCCTGAGTCGTACCAGAGGGAAGATGAGCCGTCTAGGAAAGCAGGCCTGAGATCAGCCACGGCAAATACACGGCACACAGCCTGACACTTCCCTCCAAGCCCGAGACTGTGAGGGACATCACCGTCAAACACAGCACCTCAGACATGCCTTCGGAACCGTCCACACTGTACTCCATGTAGCGCTCAGCCACAGATCAGAGGAAGCCTGATAAGATGTGCCTGAGACACAATGTGAGCCACAGAGCTGTGGGGGACGGTCACCAACTGCACTTACCCATCTCCTGCTAATCCCTGAATCTAGCGAAAAAGGAATGGTCCATACACCTCCTCTAGGAAGCCCTCCCGGCTTAACCTCAGCCTCTCCTGTCAACTTATAACCACCTCAGCACAAAGGACACAGTCTTCCTTTGTTCACAGGCATATTTTTCTCAATTTTACTTTTTTCATGGGAACGTGTTCCACCTCTCCCTGTTAAACCACAGACGTCTGAGGGCCATGCCTCTGCCCCCTCCTGCATTCTCCAGCCAAGCCTAAAATAAGATATGTAAACTGTAGGAGCTCGGCCACTGCTCTAAACCACTAACATAAAACCAAGGAATCTCAAGGGCCAGAGAAAGCCCGTAAGACCTTTGGTCAAACTGCTCTTCCTCTGCCAAATGTTTCCTCTCTATGCTTTCAGTGACAGACAGCAAAATGGTTGAAGCACCAGTTTGGGGACCAGAAAACACCTGAACTAAATCCTAGCTCTCACTTACCAGCTGCATGACCTTAGGCAAAGTACTTCACCTCTCTAAGCCCCAATAATCTCACGTGTTTAATTCAAACCATCATGATGATCTACTTCAAAAGGCTGTGTGAGGGTGAAATGAGATTAATACTTGTAAAGGGCCTAGCACGGTTCCTGGTACACAAAACATGTTCAATGAATTTAGCAGTATTACTGATGTTATTGCCAATTCCACCGTTAGATCATTCTTAACTGTGAAAAGGTCTTTCTCATATTAAGCGAAAAATCTGTTTCTAAGAAACTTCCTATTTGTCCTGTTCTGCCCTCTGGATCTACAGAAAGCGCCCAAGGCATCTCTACTCCCAGCTAAGTATTCTCAGCTCCCCTCTGTTCAATATAAACCAGTTTCCCAATCCCTTGACATCATGCTTACCCTCCTATGCAGAGGATTATGACAACAAAAGCTTATATTCACTGAACACTTCCTATGTTCCAACACCTGTACTAATGTTATATATGTATATATATCATCTCACCTCATCCTCTCAGCTCAGTAGGGGTTATTATCCCTACTGCTCAAAAAAGAAAACTGAGGCTCAGTAAGTTTTAAAAAATGTTTTAAAAACTTGCCCAAGGTTTCACAGCTAGTAAATGGCACAGCAGGACATGCATGCACCCACATCTGACTCCAAAGCCCTGAGCTCTTGGCCACTCTGACATGACCAGCACACAGGGACAATGGGAGGGGTGGCAGGAGAGAGACTGCTATGGAAGGCAAGGAGCACATTATAAAGGGCTTGGGAGGACAGACGCTGTATCCTGCACATGATGAGGAGCCATGACAGGATCTCACAAAGGAGACTGGCCTGATCAGATCTGTAGTTTAGGAAGATGATTCTGACAGTTTTATAAGAACTAATTAGAGGAGGACAAGAACAGAGGCAGAGGGAGCCCTTAGAAACTTATCCTGGAAATACAGGCAAGAAATTATGAACTAGGTCAGTGGATGTGAGAATGGAAAGAACAGGTCAGATTTCAGGGGTATGAGGAGGCAGAATAACAGTCCTTCACGTCATGTCTGGACGCAGGAGGACAACAAGGGCACTTAAACCAGTACACTGGGATTATCTGTTCACTTCTATGCCTTGCCGGACAGCTCCATCTAGCCCACTGCCTAGATACAGGAGAGGTCCAACAAATGTCCGCTGCGTATATTAGATGAATGAGTTCCAGATGTAGACGGTGGCTGACTGAGTGAACAGTGAAGTCCTCATGACACAAAAACTACAAAGGAGTGACAGATCTGGAGGACCAGGAAGGCTGGGGCGGCATTCAGTGAGCGATGATCAGAAAGTAAGTCGGAGCTCAAGAAAAGAAGTCTGGCAGGAACCATAGTCTGGGGAGTAACCGTTAAATAGCTGGTAACTGAAACTGCGTGAAATCGCCCAGAGATGGTGTATGTTGAGTAGAAAGGAGAGGCTTGCAAAGGCAGATGACGCGGGGTTGGGGGGGAGGGGAGGGGAGGGG